GAGGTACTGGCACTCTGCCACACTACATGGAGTGAAAGGCAGGAAAGAAGCATTGTATGCTTCCCGCCTGCCGGTCATCCGGTCATTTGCATCACTGGGCCAGTGCACCATAACCTGTGCCCCTTTATAGTACCACCGGCCTGCATGGAAAATATGATGCTGTAGTCAGTCCACGTCAGTTTTAGTAATAGTCCACGTAAGTTATTATGGTAGTTTAGTCTACTTCTAGTCTAGATATAAACAAGTTAAATTTACTCAATGCATTGCTCACCACTATGAGTTAAAGACTTAAACCCGGAAGAGTTCTGATTAGAAAAACTCCCTGTGTATTGTGTTTTATTTCACCAGCTGTGCGGTCATTCCAGTATTAAGGTGGTTAACCAGTCAGATGTTCAGACATATTACTCACAGAGTGTGGTGGATCGATAGCAACATGCACTGGAGGTCATGACCACCAGGCAAACAGTAACGTGTACTGGAAGCTGGTGGGGCCCTAACAATACTCTAACTGTAAAGAGTCAGGTCTAAGACAAACATTCATTTGTCCAGGTAACTGAGCCAGAATGTGGTCTATGCCACTTGTGAGTGATTTTCTGTGGGTTAGAAAAAATAAATAGTAATAATAAAGCAAGGTAGACACACTCCAATAATTAATGCAGGCTAACTCCAAATGGAGCGAAGAACATGGTATTGGGTGCTCACGTACATAAGGCTCTATTCCCAAAAAGCCCAAATAAGTACCAGTATAAATCAAGTAAGGAGCACAACCATAAATGTGTACATATAAAAAAATCTTTATTAAATGGGTACACAATAATTGAATATCTCATTAAGTATGAAACAAGAAAACATAGTCATATAATGTTGCAAAGCAACAGCCAGAAAAATTCTGGATATGCCTAAACGCCAAATACGTAGTGCATGAAAAAATAAAGAAACAGATGGGACGCACAATTATGGTACTGGAGGTAGTCACGAGCCAGTTAGTTAGTGCATAACATCTTGAGGCTTCTATTTACTGTGTGCATTCTGCAGTAAAAATAACGCTGAATTCTACACTTTTGTTCCAATTGTTGCATGAAGAGTGTGTAAGGATATTGTATAATAATGTTTTTAGATATCTGATATAACAGGCAGTATTAGAGAGAAGATACAGGCTCTGATTCATAATTGTTAAAAATAAGATCTGCATGGAATTTGGTTGGACAGACCCTGCTTTGGACCCCTGTGCCACCTCTGAGGTCAGCAGAACCCCCCCAGAAAGCACAGAGCAAGCATGTCATGAATCTCTGGCTGGGTTACTCACTAAAATGAGAATTGTCTGGAATGTAAGATGAGGCCAAATTAGCAGAAATGGAAATTATTTCCAAGTGAGCTATGCTTCCAGTTCGGCTACTTAGGCCTCACTTTGAATTCAATTTAAATTAAATTTGCAACGATTTTTATTTAGTGTTTATCGGGGTGTGTTTTATCTGCATAAAAGTGCTGCAGCAACAATCAACACATAGGCAGCTCTGTGCGGGAGGGGGGCTTGAACGATGGCAAAAACAACTGTTTGAGACTTGGATGTCATTTGTGTCACTGGCATGTCCCCGTTCGTGTCCATTCGTCTTGTCCCAATCACAAATCTCCCAATAATACACACATTCCAAAGGTGCCATCAAAAAGGAAAACATGACACTGACCCTGATTATTCAGAATGACTGACAGGTATGCATGTGTTCACATATTCTCTCTACACTGTTAAAGGAACACTAAATTGTATTCCTAACACTAAAGTGTTCTACTACCTATGTAGGTGTGTCCCCGTATGCACTGAAAAAAAGATTTAGTTACCTTTAAATCCTCGCCTCACCTGTCTCGTCATGGCCACCTTGCCTCACCGGTTGTGATCATCAATCTTGTTCTCATCCATTTTAATGGGGAGGTGCTGCACCAATCATGATTTGTTCATAGAGATTAATTGAGTCAATGTATCTTTAGGGAGAGTGTTCAGCATCTCCATGCAGAGAGTAAAGAAGCTGAACGTTGGTCATGCAATCTTTACAGGACTGAATCCAGGAAGCCCCTCTAGTGGAAGTCAGAGTAACAGCCATGTCAGAGTGACCTTAGGCAGCAATGTAAACACTGCCTTTTTTATTTTCAGAAAAAAAAAGTTTACACTTTTGAGGTTGCAAGGACAATCTATATGCACCAGAACCCCTATATTAAGCGGTTCTTGTGACTATAAAGTGACCTCTTAACATTGTTTCTTTTTTTTTTTTGTTTCTTTTTTTACTATCTTACATTTTATGAAATATATAAGATGTGTATTTAAAGGCTGGGAATTGTGGAGAATTGACAAGGGAGTTTATTTTTTGGGACAAAATAGCAACCCAAAAGATAACAGAGTTCAAGAATTAAATTTTGGCTACCTTGGCCTAACATATTGCAGTTCCCTTGTCCCTTATAAACTCTCTGTAAGAAAATTTCTCAGAATGGTCAGAAGGCCAAACTAACTAGTCGATCTGTCTGTTCTGTATTTATTTTTATTTTTTTACTTGATGCGAAATGTTTAAGCTACTTATATATGTTGTGCTATACTTATACATTTTGTGACTTTTTCTGACCAAAATTTTGAGGATGTTGTTTATTTGTTCACCTGTTCAGCAAGAAAATTGCTGTTGGGAAATAATGACAAATGATCTCCTATAAGTGTTTACAATGAGATTTTTGGCTAACTCTATGGTTGTCCCATTTTTATAGCCAGTATAGTTTGATACACAGGGGGCTACACATTATAATAAGCCAGCTGCACAATGTCATGGTTTGACTGCCAATGTACTGGACCTTTAATGCGGCAACTCTATTTATCATTTCATATTATCCAGGTGGAGATCAGTGGAAAATCCTCTGAATACAACATATTTTGGGATTAAAAATTAGACATTGTCATCAGTCCAATGTAATGCATTTTCTCAAATCAAATATGGTAATCAAATCACACAAATCATTTTTACTACAGCAGATTTTGTGAATTATGAACATAAAGTATTGAACAAATAAAGGGCTGAATAAGAAATATCTATTTTGAGCATGATTTAGTAATGTAAACTGTTTGGCAAACATCACAACATGGTCACTGACTAACTATATTACACGTGATTTGCAGGGGAATTCACAGAAACACCTGTATTCTGAGCCCAAATGCTTGCTCACTAGTGATGTCCCGAACGGTTCGCCGAACGGTTCGCAAATGGTTCGCCACGAACGGTTCGCCACGGACTCATCAGTGAGTAAACTTTGACCCTGTACCTCACAGTCAGCAGACACATTCCAGCCAATCGGCAGCAGACCCTCCCTCCCAGACCCTCTCACCTCCTGGACAGCTCACTAAGAATGCAGCTTCAAAATGGATGCTGTCCAGGAGGTGGGAGGGTCTGGGAGGGAGGGTCTGCTGCTGATTGGCTGGAATGTGTCTGCTGACTGTGAGGTACAGGGTCAAAGTTTACTCAATGATGAGCCCGTGGCGAAACGTTCGCATACCGTTCGGCGAACCGTTCGGGACATCACTATTGCTCACCCCTACATTAACAGAGATGTGGAGATTCACACCTTCCACCCATCCCGATTTTGTCAAGACAGTCCTGATTTTTCCATCTTTTAGTGAACTGGCCTACATGATTGGTAGACAGCCTGACATGCATTCACACTAGGTTGACCTATCAATTCCATTTGAAGACCCAGCCTTTGGTTATGTCCAGTGATTTAACGTGCCTACTGGCATGCCTTATTTTTGCCACTCCCACCAGTGTCCTGCTTTACATGATGCCAAAGTGTGGGTTATGGGCAGATGTCATGACAGCCATTCCGTACAATATTTTGTCACCTCCTCTCTACCCATGAACAACGTGCAGCTGAGGCTCTCCGGGAACTCAAATGAAAGTATAGCCAGAAAGCCTTAAATAGGAATTGTCAATTTCCAAGAATTAAAAGGTTTATGTTTTGACAACTGCCACATGATGCCAAGATGTATTCATTTTCAATCAATTAACAGAATAAACTGCTAACAACATAATGTAGACTCTAAAATATTGATCATTGACCCTAAAGTTCCAACTCACACTCTTTTTCTGGATGTTTACCTCATTTTCTGGTGGTGGTGGAGCTAAAGCTGAAGTGGTCCCACTACTGTATGTTGGGCGACCAGGACTGGTCCAGGAGGTGGGAAGGTCTGGGAGGGAGGGTCTGCTGCTGATTGGCTGGATTGTGTCTGCTGACTGTGAGGTACAGGGTCAAAGTTTACTCAATGATTACATAGGGGGCGGACCGAACAGGGCATATGTTCGCCATCCGTGGCGAACCGTTCGGGACATCACTACTGATAACCTTGACAGTTAGTTACTGAAGTATGAATCCAAAGTGACTTTCCAATTTAAGGCCAAAGTAGCAGAACTGCAAGCAAAGCTGACTATAGATTTTTTTTCATTTTGACCTTAAAGCGAATCTGTCAATTTTAGATCCAGTTTGGGTCCGGTGGCCACTGTCCTTCGCAACAACCACCACCCTTACAGCAGGTCCTTTTTAGCTCCTGGGACTATAGGATGCCAGAGAGTTCAACACTGAGGTCTTTGGAGGATCCCATGAGGCTGCAGGACCCTCAATAGAAAAAGCCTGAATCCTACAGCCATCATTTGTGATGGTTGCTAGAATACGACAAAAGTTAAAGGGGGAACTCAGCCTTTCCACACTTTTTGCCAAACTTAGCCTTAACCATAATACAGATATCTTTAGATTCTTAATCTGTATATCATAAATATTATATCTTTATGGAATATTGAAAAGTGACAGTTCCACTTTAAACCTGAAATTCACTTTAGTAAATAACATTTGTGTATTAACATTTTTGTAGCACTGAGTAGTGTAATCTGCTGAGAATATCAATCAGCAAAACAGTCAGACAGCCCTCGAATGATTAAACCTGTTATGTCATATATTCAATATCTCACATTTGTTTCCAGGTCCAGACATGTTCTGCATATTTCATGGTAAGAAATATGGCCCAGGAGACAGCTGGCATCCTTACCTAGAACCTCAAGGAATTGTATACTGCATACGATGCACCTGTTCAGAGGTACGTTCTAGCAATAACTTACCTTACAATGTAACACGTCTGTTCACTCATAGTGATAAGTCTCATTTCTCATGAGTCGTAAACCTTTTATTTTACATGTAAAATCCCTTCCCTGAATAAGCCACTGGTTTCTAAAGTGGAGTAATTAGGCCCCGTTTTCTTATTAATTTTCTGTAGAATCTCATGTTTTTATCATTCTTTTCAAATATTGCAATGTTGTTGAAAATATATGTTATGTTATAGTTGTTTAAGACTGTGGAGGCTAGCATAGAATTTCACAAATGCACATGCTCCACTGGCTAAATACAAATAAAATACCACCGATGAAAATATGCATGTATTTAAGTAAGCATTTTATTCATTGGGATTATATCTGTAAACAGATGCCTTGTCTGCACCCTGGGCAAGCCCTCCCCTTCTAAACCCGCCCACTTTCCGAGGCTGTCCAATCACATACTGCTCACTGCAGCTCAATGAGAAGTCTTTACAAGATAGGTGCTCTGAGCAATTGCTGCCCCTTGAGTTAAAGGACCACTATAGGCACCCAGACCACTTCAGCTTAATGAAGTGGTCTGGGTGCCAGGTCCAGCTAGGTTTAACCCTTTTTGCTGTAAACATAGCATTTTCAGAGAAACTGCTATGTTTATCTATGGGTTAATCCAGCCTCTAGTGGCTGTCTCATTGACAGCTGCTAGAGGAGCTTCCGTGCTTCTCACTGTGGTTTTCACAGTGAGAAAACACCAGCGTCCATAGGAAAGCATTTACAATGCTTTCCTATGGACTGGCCGAATGCGCGCGCGCGCGGCTCTTGCCGCGCATGCGCATTCAGCCGATGATGGAAGAAGAGGGAGGAGAGTCCCAGCGCCGGAAAAAAGGTAAGGGATTAACCCCTTCCTCCCCCCTCAGCGCCACGGGAGTGGGACCGTGAGGGTGGGGGCACCCTCAGGGCACTATAGTGCCAGGAAAACGAGTATGTTTTCCTGGCACTATAGTGGTCCTTTAAGGTCCACTGATATAACAAACCAGGAAGTAATAAAACCGGTTGTCTAATTGACAACAAGAGGACAAGAGGGGTACTGAAATCGGCACTTTTTGCAAAATGAAAAAAATAGTGCACGCTTTTCATACATAAAGCATTTCACCAAGCTAAAATGCTTTCAGGATCTGGAGTGTCCCTTTAATTTGGAACATTTAAGTTGAATTCTCTTATGTGCCTACCAACACTGACGGATCAGGAGGTGATGCTATGGCCTTCGATTTCTTTTGAAGTTTAACTATTCTTTGTATGCTGCATTATACAGCATTTTAAAGATTTTTTTTTTAATGAGTTTCTGATATTTATTTATATGCAAGTTCAATACGTCAGCACATTTATATTCTACTAATATTCAATGTTTGAAATAAATTAAAGGGATTTAAAATATTTTGCCTAGTGAGTTTAAATGTTACCCTGGGCGCCTATCTCTCTGAATTCATTGTATTCATTCCAGTCTTTTTCAAGTAGTTTGGGTTTTATCATTCTATTTGCCCTTGACTCTGTTGCAGATAAAGCCAGGATACTGTACTGTCCTGTTCGGCTAACACTCTTTTATGACAGATTTACCATCTGGGTTAATCACTAAAGTGAGAATTGCTAAAGATTTTAAATGAATCCAAATTAATTTTTACATTTTAGACCAAAATAGCCAATCTGGAATAACATTTCAATTCTGACTATTCTGACTTTAAATTCTCACTTTAGCAGATTACCATGTGGGTGTAATACAATTCTTAAATTCCCTTTAAGAACAACTTTACCATAAAACAACTTTAGCTTAATTAAGCAGTTTTGGTCTATATATCAATGAATGACTTTTCACTACTCAATTCACTGCCATTTAAGAGTTAAATCACTTTTATTTCTGTACATGCAGCCCTTGCCAGACCTCCCCCGGCTGTGACACACAGCATGCATGAAAAAATGGTTTCACTTTCAGTCAAATGTAACTTACTTTAAAAGTTTTTATGTTCTGCACTCTAAATTTAAAACATTAATCACACACAAGAGGCTCCTAAAGGGTCCTGCAAGCTATTAACAGTGCAAGAGATAAGAAATTATAAATTATACAGAATTTGCAATAAAGGAAGTATAAACATTAGATGATTCTTTACAGGAAGTGTTTATGGAAGGCTGTGCAAGTCACATGCAGGGAGGTGTGACTAGGGTTCATAAACAAAGGGATTTAACTCCTAAATGACAGATAATTGAGCAGTGAGACTGCAGGGGCATGATCTATACACAAAAACGGTTGCATTAAGCTAAAGTTGTTTTGGTGACTATAGTGTCCTTTTAAACATGTGATGCCCCGATCAATGTAATCTACTAAGGATGTCATGTGTTTGTGACCAGGTATAGAGATGCAAATACTGTTAGACAGTCCTGAAATATTTTACGTTATAGATTCAGTATCTCCCGTTTGTCTCCAGGTCCAGAGATGTGAGAATTTGTAAAAATCTGGTATTTTGGCCTTACATTTGATAATCACTTTGAATTGAATTCCTGATAATTCTCACTTTAGTAAAATAATGAGTCTCCAAACGGGGTTTTAGCTAAATGCAGTTGACAGCATTGTGCAGTCGATGATCTTGCCGGCATTCATTTTTATAAAAAAGAAAACATCTGAACCAGTTGAGACAGAAATCTATGAATGTCAAACATTCTGTATTCAGAATTATCCTCTAGTTTTTATTACTTTGAATCTAAAATGGATTTAAAGTGAATTTAACATTTTATGCCAAAATAGTCAAACTAAGAAATATACTCGACTTTTTTTTCAATTTCCTTTTAAATTCTAACCAGTGAATAACCGAATTGTGTTTAGTAAATATGTCAATAGCAATTCCAGGTGAAAGTTAACAATTTCCACACAGTTTTGGGATTGAGCTTAACGTGTAAGAGTTTTTTTTTTTTTTTACTTAAGTGCTTTTTATGAAGTTTTACTGAAGTTAAAGGATATTCTTCTTTTTAACTATTTCATGTCTTCTGTGGGGGAAATCGGTTCTCTGTTGGCCTCGTGTAGGGCTGGAGGAAGATATATTCCCCAGCACTAGTGAATGCGTGACATCACACATCAGTTCTAGGCAGTGACTGAGCACGTGTGAGATCTATATTTAGACTGGGCAGTTTCTACAAACGACTCAGACACACACACACACACATGTTATTAACTGAGATAATTGACTGAGAGCACAGAGCTAACCTGCCCCCAGCGCTCCCAGCCAATGTCAACAATAATGTTAAATGTTAATTCCGCAGAGATTAATGTTGTCCCCAGTGTATTTCATGTCAAACTGTTCCTAAACTGTTTGATATTATACAAGGGGAAGACACAATAACCAATTCAGCAAGATGCAGGGCCATCTTCAACGTGAGGCCCGCTGCCCTTAACTATTTATTTTTTCCCCCATGAGTCACCGGTGCAGCCAGGGGCCCGCACACTAAGGAGGCCCATCGGGTGACCCATGCACTAAGGGCCACCCGATGGGCATTTGTAAGCAGGGGCCTGGTCGCGCTCTGAAGGCCCCTTGCTTTCGGCAGCCGGATGGGAGGAAGTGAGAGCCGCAAGTCACTTCCTCCCACAGTGTACAGAGAGCCACACAGGAGACACCAAGGAGGCAGAGAGGAGTGGGGCTGGGCCGGTAGAGCCCGGTGCTAACCTCCAACAACCTCAGCCACCACTCTAGACACCAGGGAAGTCACACTCCAAGTAGGAAATGGGAGATAGGTGGGCAGGGTTCAGGGGACCCAATACATTGTTTTGCCAAGGGTCTTTTCACCCCATACACAACATTTTCAGCAGTGTTCTCTTTATGAGTAACCCTAATTAGCTGCCTTGCAAGTAATGTATTTGTGCCTTATGCTCACAAACTGTAATCATGTTTGGATTATGACAGCATTCTGAGAATCTTACCAATGCAAAACATTTGTACCATGTTTGTATTTTAGTTTTAATTTGTGTTTAATTTGTATAAAGGCTGGCATATCACGTCTAATACAATATGTAGCAGAGCTGCAATATTAAATCCCACGATCTCCGCTGGTGAAGAAAGTAATCCAAAGTAAAGCGCTGAAAAGTAAGGCAATATCCCAAATCCCCCACTAACTGGACAAAACACAGTTCTGGGAGTCAACTGAGGTTTTTATTCACAGCATCCAGTATTTATGCAAGTCCCCGTGCAAGGGGTTTCCCTACTGACATAGCAGGGGTAACACAGTAGGGGACTACATCGGGGACTTAACATTCTGAACATTTCTCCCATCAGGCACTGCTGCACGAGAGGGATACTCCCACTGGAATACACTGTTAAGTGGATTATCCCTCCATGCAGCAGAACCGGCATTTTACATTTAAATCCATAACTTTAACAATACTTGGTAGATTTAAACGAATGGACGTTCGGTAGATAGCTGGGGTCTGAGTGCACAGTTCGTAAGAATACCGCTCAGATCCCAGCTAAAACAACTAAACGCCGCATGAAACACACTTTGCCATTGAGTTCGCACCAAAGTACCGAACACCGATGGGGAACCCTAATAGTGAAAGACCGGAGCTCCTGAACGGCCTAGAAGTCCAGCGGTGTTCGCGCCGTCGAGTAGCCGTTTTTAGTTCCACGCGCTCGACGACCAAACACCGCTGGGGGGACAAAGGATCCAAGATGGCCAACCGCCTCGTGGTCGGTAGCCGAACGGCAGCCACCTAGGAAAGCCTCTAATTACCGATTGCAACATTGTTGCAATCGGTTAACGAGCGCCACACGTCCCTCTCTGTGTGAGCTATTAGGGGGTAGCTCATTCGGTTCACGAACAGCCTGTAAAGTGGCTGTTCGTGAAACGAAACAAATTAATGCTAGCGGCTTTCGGCTGCTAGCATATGAATTCAATACAAACATACATTTCCACACAGTAAGCAGAATACATTTAAACCTTTGTAGTGCAGCAGTGTTCCGGACAACCTTTAAAGTCACAGCCATATAATCTGAAGTGGCTAGGTTTGCCACACAATATAACTATTCTCGATAATTCTGCAAAACATGGATAAAGAAACAGAAAGTAAAAGTTTACGTTTTTTTTAAATTGTTGAGCACGATATGTGACACAAGTGTTTCTCTTTTCTAACATCATATTCTTGCTTTTTATCCTATATTTAAATAGAAAAAAAACTACACTTATTCCCCGATAAAAATGTTTTAAAAACCAATGACCAATTTTAAAACCTCTTAACACAACAATATAAAGAGATAAAAACAGTTTTTTGGTTTTTTTTAAGGGATCCATTTGCAGAAAAAGCTTCTAAAATTAGGAGAAGCTGACAAATTGTTGATGTGAAGCACTTTTTTCCAGACAAATGGCAGGACCAGTTTCATTCAATCAGTAGGGACACCCCAGGCAGCCACCAACAATGGGGCAATGTACTTTAAAAAATATTAACAGGTAATACTGTGCTTAGAATTAAGTGAGTGCAATTAATCTGTCTGGGGAAAGCTGCCAAGTGATGTCAGTGCTGTCTGGCATGGCCGTCTGGTGTCACACTGTGTGGCTGTGTTAGGAATGTCATCTGAACGCTCAATCTTGCTTGAGAGCAAAGAGCTGTGTCTACATCATTATCAATTAGCTCTTAAGTGCCCAGCGTTCTACGGACCAGATTCATCTTCTAAACCTAAGAAAGATTCCTTGTTACGATGGCTGGATATGGCTGGTGCTTTGAAACCACTGGCCGGGCAAAGAATGTTATAGCTTGTAAAAAGGAACGTTAATTCACACCATTTCAAACCTTTTTAATGATGTGGGATAATAGAGCAGCTTATTAAACTAACCAGGGCTATTACAACACAACATCACTCTGTAAAGGATCATCGATGTAGAATTTATGGCTTTAGATCGCACACATGACATTTGCATAGTCGCCTTATTGGCATATGCATAACCCCACCATTACCCATTTCCCAATAAAACACTGACACCATAATTTTGGCAAAATTATATCACAGCTTAATTAATTGTTAACAGTAAATTTAAAGGTCATTGTCAACAGCATGCCAACATTGGCCTGCACAATTTCCATCTTGCATTTTACCTTTTAAACCCCTTGACAATGACCCACTCCTACATAAACATAATACCCCAAACATTGTAACACCATGTACTTAACATTGAACATATCACCATTGCCAAAAAAGGACACCACCCATTGCCACCAAAGGTCACCACAAGTTTAGGGGCATACCGAGACACCCCTACACACCCAGGTTCGGAGCTACCGACGAGCTCGAACCTACCAAACCAGTCCAAAGGCCTACCTATTAGCCCTAAACTCCAATTTTACCCCATCTCACTCTTTTCTCCCCCCAATATTACTCTCCATCCCCCGCCACAGCTCAGAGCTTGACTCCTCAATCTCCTGAGCGACCTCCCCCACCCAGGGAAAATATTGCCCTCTGTACGCCTTCCTGAAAACCCAACAACAGAAAATCCAAACCCACGTCGGAGAGATGGACCCCATCATGCCTATAATAACCTGGAAGCATGTCTTCCAACTCCATATGCCGAATCACAACCCCACCCAACCGCCTCACATACGCTGCCATCACCTTGTTGACTTTTCCCTTAATCTTGGCCACTGCGGAGGACTTCCACGCATGCCGCCAGTGCAACCTCGGAACCATTTCCGACCATATGACCATAACCCCCGGCACTAACTCTCTCAGCTTGTCCACATCCCTCTTCATACTCGCAATCAACTCCTTCTGTGGTACCAGCCCTACATCATTGCCCCCTGCGTGAAGCACAACCATGTCCAGAACCTGCCCCAAACGAATTTTGTTAAACATTTCCAAACAAATTGCATTCCAACTCCAACCCCGGTAACCAAACCACCGAAGCTGAACCACGGATTGCGGAAAGCCCGGCTGTAGACCATATCGGCGAACTGCATCTCTCCGATGCGCCCAATATATATATACGAGTGTCTGACCACCCATGCCGTCCAACCTGTAAAAACATAACGAGAACATAGACAAACACAAAACAAAACAACATAATACCACTGTCCACCACCAACCACCCCTAGGGCTTACACCAACTTATCGGCCTGACGTAGGATCTAAACCTCACCGACTCCCACCTGCCAATCCTCTTCACCAACTCATCCCCCAGGCCCAGTCTCGCAGCCACCGTTGCCGCGCCAGTCCTAAAGGAATGAGTCCCGAATTGGCCCGGGTCCACCCCCAGCCTTGACAACGCCATCCGGAAGACCCTGAGAAACTGAAACTTCGATAGGGAAGAGCCGTCCAAGTGCCTAAAAAAGGAACCCCGACACTCGCCCGAGCCTCGCGGAAGGCTGTTGCGCACCTGACCGGGCACACTTCCCCGCCTGGGAGCTCCCACAACGTAACCAAACTCCTTTTCCCCAACACGTCTGTTTTGGAACGCCTCAAATTGAAGCCCCCCGGCCCCAAGACGATTGCTGCTGACCAGCTCGCTGACTCGAAAAAGGCAAAACTAAAAACCACTGCAAACAATGCGACTTCACACCCTGAAAAGCACACTTCGGGCAGCACTCTGACCACCCGCCGAAGCAATTCGAATGACACCGGTCTCCTGGAATCAACCGACACCTTGCCCCTCCTAAAATCTTTTTAGGCTTGCCTGATGAGGAAATGTTTTGTGACATCCTCCCAACCGGCAAACTTAAACAGAAAGGCTAAAGCTGCTAACTTACGCCCGACTACCGCTGCTGAGGCCCCTGAGACGAACAGCCTACAAAGGAACCACAATAACGAGTACAGCCGAGCCTCCCGCCAGAGCTGACCCCAGCTCCAGCTCGTCTCACTCCCCCCACACCTTACTGTACGCCGTCTAGGTAGCGGGTGCCAGAGAGTCCCTGATCAGTCCGCCAAGCATGAGCAAGCGAGCCACCACATCTCGTCTGGGCATGACATCTCCTCCGCTTGCGCACCAAGCGCCGCATGCCGAAACCTCTCCCACTGCGAACGAGACAATGCGTCAGCTATAACATTCAATAATCCGGGCACGTGGCGTGCCCTGAAAACAATATTAAACTGCATACAGAACAAGACAAAGAAGCCGCACTACCGGGATAGAGGACGCTGAAAGCCCATTTACTGCCTCTACCACCGTCATGTTGTCCGAAAAGAATACAATCTTCCTATCCCGCAACTGAGGACCACATAATGACAGTTCTACAACCAATGGGAACATCTCCAAGAATGCCAAGTTGCGGATCAGCGGGCTGGCCTTCCATGCCGCCGGCCACGTTCCTGCACACCAGCGGCCAGCGAAGTTAGCCCTGAAACCGACACTCCCCGACGCATCCTTAAACAGCTCCAAGTCCGGGGACGACGAAAAAACACCTTCCCATTAAAATCCTGTAAAAAGGCCACCCAGACGTCCAGATCGGCCTTCATAGCCGCTGAGACACGAATAAGATGGTGTGGGAACACCCCCCCCCCCGTTGCCCTAGCCAAGAACCTGTTAAAGACCCTACCCACCGGAATCACCTGACAGGCAAAGTTTAGCCGACCCAGCAATGACTGAAGCGTCCGGAGCGTGACTTTTTTTAGCTCCCCGCACCTCAGCCACTGCCTTCCGAAGTTCCAGCAACTTATCCTGCGGCAGCCTACACTCCCTTTTAACTATTAGTCTATCTCCAAGCCCAAAAAACTCAAGCATGTCGTAGGTCCCACCGTTTTGTCCCCGGCCAAAGACATGCGCCACCCACTCCAGTGTCCTCAGTCCTATGTGACATTCCTCTGAGCCGGGAGGCCCGATGCATAAGAAATCATCCAGGTAATGAGCTTAGTGCCCACCTCTATCTTCACCACCCATTCCAGGAATGTGCTAAACTTTTTAAAGTACGCACACGATATAGAGCATCCCATGGGCAAGCATAAGTCCACAAAATACTCGCCGTCGAAGTGACACCCCAATAAGTGATGACACTCGGGGTGAATTGGAAGCAGGCAAAACCCCGCCTCCATGTCCACCTTCTCCAATAATGCCCCACGACCCGCCCACTGCACCAAATTCACCGCTTGGTCGAATGAGGCGTTCGACACTGAGCACAGTGCCTTGTCAATGTCATCTATAACCGACGACCCTTTGGGGTAAGAAAGGTGATGTATTAGGCGGTACTTACCCAACTCCTTCTTGGGAACCACCCCCAGTGGGGAAACCCTCAGGTTAGGTAGAGGGGGCTCCTTGAACGGCCCCGCCATCCTACCCAACTGAACTTCCTTAAACAACTTCTCCCTAACCACCCCCGGAAACTTCCCCACTGATTTTAGGTTGCGCAGCCGATGTACCATTACCCTCTCCCAAAACGGGATCACAAACCCTTTTAAAAAGCCCTCATCAAGCAGAACCACATCCTCCCTGTTAACGCAGCGGCTTAGCCAAGGTAGCATCGCGCTGACCTTTACCGGCGTTGCCCCAGTTGCAGTGGATGAGGCCGAACCCCCGGGCGGCTGCCTTACCTTTCTTGAAGCACCTGTGCAATCCATGGGTACCTCCACAACCGGAGCACTCATGCTTGAAGCGACATGTAGCCCCCATTTGTACTGCCCTTTGTTATAGAGCCAATAATAGCCCCGCTTTTGGTTGGCCAACACGGTGGTGGAAGCGTCCGTGCCAGCCCCCGGCTGAAAGGGAGACGCCTTCTGTGCCATCATAAGCTTCATCCAGAGCGGAAGATCCATTTGGTCCCACCGCATCCCCGGATTAGCCACCAGGCGCTGACGTAACTGCTCGTCATATCGCCACCACGTGAGACCCCCATACGTGCGATACGCTTCCCACACGCCATCCAAAAAGCAAAATAGCTGCGAACAGCGCTTCGCTGCCTTCTCGCCCATCACACTGGCCAAAATGCTGAATGCCCTCAACCAATTCCCAAACGTCTTAGGTATCTTCCTATACCGCCGCTTCTTTTCCTCATCCTCCTTCTTAACGTCCTTCTTATCTTCCTCCTTGAGGTCAAGGTAGTCCTCTAGGGGGAGAAGTGAAAAGAGTTCCACAAACTCCCCTTTCCAAATATGATCCTTCACCTCCAGTTTTAAGTGGCAGCCTAAAGGGCCCGCAAAAGAAACGTGTACGTTCTGCCGCGCGGCCTCCAGGATTCCCCCAAGTAAACTGGCCCTCTCACTCACCGGCTCAGGTGCCGCTACCGTGGAGGTCATGCCCAACTCCCCGTCCCCGCTGCCCCCGGCCACCACAACCCCCACCGGACTAGACGCTGAAACCTCCCCCTGTGGAGCCCGCACGTTACTGCAATCCCCAACTCTCCCTTTTCCCGCACCCCAAGAATCAATTAAATGCTTAATGCCCTCCAACAGCTCCCCTGATTGCTGCAAAGACAATGTCTCACCTTCTGAACCCCTTTGCCGCCGAAGCCCATGGAGTTGCCGACCGACCATGGCTGTCCTGACCCAAGCGCTCCACTGCTTTGAGCCGTACTCCTATAGTGCCAGATCTCACCCGATCCACGGGCGACCGTGAAGACGCCTGTCCCATGACACGGTCAAGCTCTGTTATACACTCAGACACATTACTGGGAGTATTATTACTGTGGGGCTCTGTTATACACTCAGACACATTACTGGGAGTATTATTGCTGTGGAGCTCTGTTATACACTCAGACACATTACTGGGAGTATTATTGCTGTGGAGCTCTGTTATACACTCAGACACATTACTGGGAGTATTATTGCTGTGGAGCTCTGTTATACACTCAGACACATTACTGGGAGTATTATTGCTGTGGAGCTCTGTTATACACTCAGACACATTACTGGGAGTATTATTGCTGTGGAGCTCTGTTATACACTCAGACACATTACTGGGAGTATTATTGCTGTGGAGCTCTGTTATACACTCAGACACATTACTGGGAGTATTATTGCTGTGGAGCTCTGTTATACACTCAGACACATTACTGGGAGTATTATTACTGTGGAGCTCTGTTATACTCTCAGACACGCCAACAATATGGAGCTCCTAGAAAAGAGGGACAGAATGATTTGGGCTCATAATTGGGACTGTCCCTCCCAAATAGGGACACTTTGAGGTTTGTACCTGAGTGCGTCTGCAGCTATGTGCCAGCAGTGACATTGATAGCATCACTGGTACAGCGGCAATTATGCATCTCATTCTGTAACACTTCTTTCTTCTCAATTTCAGAATCTATAAAAATGTTTTATTACTAGTCACAGCGATTTAACATTAACCGATAAGTTGTGATCCTGACATACATACATGGAATTGTAATTTCTTATATTATTGTTTTTTAAAACACATTCCATACACATCAGTGCATGAAAACAACAAACCCTTTCATAAAATCTTCTATGTTTTTTATCACGCAGGGTGGGAATGTGAGCTGTTACAGAATAAAGTGTCCAGTTCTTCATTGTGTCCACACGGTCACCGAACCTCACCAGTGTTGCCCAAGATGTATTGGTAAGTATTGACATGGCTTTGGCTTCACAATAATCACAGGGTTTTACAGAGACAATCATCCAATAAACCTTTCGCTTCCAAAAATATATACACATTTTACTTTCATTTGCAAAGCAATATGAGCCAAACATAGCTAAAAAATCAACAACGCCTCATCTACCTTCCTGCCAGGGATTCATTCTGACCCTCCAAATGTGCTGAAAATGACAGCGTACCCTCTGCCCTCTCAGGAAAGGAAGCATTAAATAAAATAACTTTATTAGTGAATTATACTATTATGTTAGTGAAAGCAGTATAAATACCAAGATTTCTGCAGGACTTCTTAAATCCCTGTATTTTACAGATAAATGATTCCACTGTAATTACTGTACATGTTCTTTTGACATTGTTGGGAAATATCCTCGCTATTAATGCAATCAAGGTCCTTACAAAAAGCCATAAGCAATATCTGACAACATTCATCTGTATATTTTTGTGAAACCTACCTTGCAAAATTCAGGTATAATAGCCAAACTGTGTGTAAAAGGTTATTCCGGCATTGATTTGGGGGATATTCTGAGGTTTCAGTTCACTGTGTGTGTTGTATGAGGGGAATAATCTGTGTTGTATTTTAGAGTGACTGTCAGTGTTGTGTATGTGGGGGATACTTTGTGTTGTATGTGGGCTGTGTGTGTTGTGTGAGTATGTGTGAGATGGTAGGTTGTGGGTTTTGTATGTGGGTTGTTTGTATGACATGCTGTGCATGTGGTGACACTGTGTGTTGTGTGAGGGAGACAGTGTGTGTGTGTGTGTGTAGACATGTGTTGTGTCTTTAGGAAGACTGTATTTTTGCATGTGTGGGCTGTGTGTTGTGCGAGGGGAAGATGGGTGTGTTATGTGACTGGGGAGGTCATGTGTTTTCAGTCTCCCCAATAATTTTGACATTTAAAATTGTGCATCGTTTTTGGTTGCCCCCACGTCTACTTAGCTAAACCATGGAGGGGTGTTTTAGACATATCTGTGTAAATATCTTTGTAGTCTCTGAGAAGCCAATATGGCTTGCTCTAGATCTTATCACATTGAAGTTCCCTTAGAAGAGGAGCATGCAATGGCTAAAGCTAGGGTTGCCTTAAAGGGACACTCCAGTCCCCTCAAGCACTGCAGCTGTCTGAAATGTTTTATGTGTGACCTCTTTTTTCATTTCACATTAAATACAGATTTTAATAGAAATTGGCCTTTTTTTAGGAATTGTCCTGTAACTTGTACGCAGTACTGGAGACCATATCTCCAGAAGGATATTGATACCTTAGAGAGGGTTCAGAGAAGGGCTACTAAACTGGTTCATGGATTGCATGATAAAACTTACCAGGAAAGGTTAAAGGATCTTAACACGTATAGCTTGGAGGAAAGACGAGACAGGGGGGATATGATAGAAACATTTAAATACATAAAGGGAATCAACACAGTAAAGGAGGAGACTATATTTAAAAGAAGAAAAACTACCACAACAAGAGGACATAGTCTTAAATTAGAGGGACAAAGGTTTAAAAATAATATCAGGAAGTATTACTTTACTGAGAGGGTAGTGGATGCATGGAATAGCCTTCCAGCTGAAGTGGTAGAGGTTAACACAGTAAAGGAGTTTAAGCATGCGTGGGATAGGCATAAGGCTATCCTAACTATAAGATAAGGCCAGGGACTAATGAAAGTATTTAGAAAATTGGGCAGACTAGATGGGCCGAATGGTTCTTATCTGCCGTCACATTCTATGTTTCTATGTTTCAATGGAGCTAAACTCAAGAGACAGCAATTCAGAGCACCTGCCTTGCAAAGACTTCCCATTGAGCTGTATTGGGAAGTCTGTGATTGGACAGCCATAGAAAGTCTGGCTGGGGTTAGAAGGGGAGGGGTTGCAATGGCAGCAGACAAGAAAAGTGCAGATTTTGAAGGCTGTTTTAGATATGAACCTAGCAATGAAAAAATGCATGCAAGTTTTACAGTGGTTTTCTTTCATGTATTTTAAATTTGGCCCGTGGAGTGTCCCTTTAAGTTTTCGTTCCAGTTCTTGGCTGCTGAATGATGGAGAGTTGTGGAGCTCTTTTATAGACTCAGACACACCAACAATATGGAGTTGATAGAAAAAAGGGACATAGAGAATTGTGTTCAAGATATGGACTGTTTCTCTTAAATAGGGACACTTGGGAGGGATGGAAATTGGAAGTGAATATGGTGTACTGCAAGGAGTGTATATGTTCAGTTATATATACTGGTATATTAGAATTACTGGTAAAATAGGCCTAAAATATGAAATTAATTTTAGGGGTTATTCACAAAAGTGGGAATTGTGGGGAATTTGAAGTGAAATAAAAATGGAAAATTCTCCAAGTAAATTGAGCTATTTCGGCCTAAAATCCGAAATTCTCTGCGAAGTCATGGTAATAGAATCTTTGTCGGTGTACACACCTTCCTGTTGTTTACCTGTGACTTTATCATTGTTTCTTTATTAAATTTTCTCACAACAAATTTTCTTCATAACCAAAAGGACTGGAGATAACATGACAATACGCCTTTTTGTCTACGGATCCGGCCTAGGATTTAAATAGAAAGGAGAAAAGTAAATGTGTTTAATAAAGGCAGTTTCGTGCTCAGAGTGAGGTTTTTTTTTTTTTTTTTGAGGCAACACAGATATCATAATAATGCAAACCTTAGAACTAACAGTTTGTTTAATCCCGAGACTTCAAAACGTTGATAAAACTGTTTACTTCTTGGGAAAAGATGGGCCCATTAGTCAGGAGCCAGACTGAAATAAAAGCAATCTGCTTAGCATCAACATCTGTCCATTGATTTAACCTCCGAAGGACAGAGCCAGATAGGTGCATGATGTGTATTTTTGGAATGGATTTGGCATACTACTGCCTATTAAAGAGTTAATGGTGTTATTAAATATTTTAACCCTGTCTGTGCTGTTTATCCATCACCTGTCTCCACAGAGCCGCACTCACCGTCTGGTCTCAGAGCGCCTGTGAAATTTTGCCAGCATAACGGAACAACCTACCAGCAGGGCGAAATGTTTACCACGTACGACCTCTTCCCCTCACGGCAGTCCAATCAGTGTGTGCAGTGCAGCTGTTCGGTACGTTCAATAACTTCACTGTCACTATTAGTACTCTGCTATCATCAGAAGCCTGATAAACCCAGAATTAATAGCAGCCCATGAACAGGGGGTATTGTAGGATTCATCGCTAACTTTCTTAATGTTGGAAACCTATGGAAAGGCTTACCAAGGTAAAGGTAAACTGTTTGAAAATGATTGCATTTCCACCATAATTGTCTCCACTGGAGTCCTGGCACCATAGCACCATAAGCATCAGTGAGCTGTAGTGATTTAGATTGGCTCTTTAACGTATTCAGAACTTTACCATTGTTTATAGCTTTTCATACAAGCTATCTGTTTTATATTTTAAACACACTCTCCCTTTGCTGAAGTTTAAAAAAAATAGTTGATAGTTTTAGTATTGTATTGTGTTCGCAAGATTGACCATCTTCTTTGAATCCAACTTTCTGTTTAACCAGCTTCTGTCTGGATTCTGCGCTCATCACTCTGTTGAAACAGCTCTGACCAAAGTATCCAATGATTTCATTGCTGCTAAATCCAGTGGTCACTATTCTCGTCCGATTATCCTTGACCTTTCTGCTGCTCTTGTTCATCAATGACTTTTTCTCATTCGCCATAATCTTGGTCCACAAGAGCTTTCCTGGTTCTCCTCTCCCAATGTCTTCCGGTGTTTAATTTTCTGGTCCGTCCTCTTCTCTGCAAGCCCTCTCTGTTGGTGTTCCCAGGGTTCTTGCCTTGGTCCCCTACTGTTCTTGATCTTACTTTGTTCCTTGGTAAACTCATGACCTTCTTTGGCTTCCAATGCTACATCTAAAGAGATAACATGCAAATCTACCTTCCTATGGATAGGAATTGCCCCGCTACAGTCTGTAATGAATGCTGCAGCTAGACTGATTTTCCTCTCTAGTCAGTCCTCTCACACATCACCCCTCTGCCAGTCCTTACATTGGCTCCCTGTATCCTATAGGAGTCAATTCAAAGTGCTAACCCATACATTTAAAGCACTGAACAATTCTAGCCCCTCTTATATCTCCTCAATGATCCATAGGTATGCCCCTCCTCGTTCCCTCCGCTCTGCCCGTGACCACCTCCTGATCGCTGCTCGCACCCGTACAGCCAACTCGCGCTTGCAGGACCTCTCACGGGTGGCTCCTTTCCTATGGAATAGCCTGCCTACCGCCATCAGACTCTCCCCTAGTCTTCAATCATTTAAGAAGAGCCTTAAAACCCATCTCTTCAGGAAAGCTTATGGCCTCCCAGAGTAACCTCTACCTTACGTTCCTGTATCTTGCTCTCCCCTATAGGGCAGAACTCTACCCCTTCCTCCAGCTCTGCTTCACTCCCACCCTATTTGATATTTCCTGTCCTAACGTGTCTTATACCCCACCTCCTATAGACTGTAAGCTCGTTTGAGCTGGGTCCTCTTCAACCTATCGTTCCTGTAAGTTTTCTTGTAATTGTCCTATTTATAGTTAAATCCCCCTCTCATAATAGTGTAAAGCGCTACGGAATCTGTTGGCGCTATATAAATGGCAATAATAATAATAATAATAACATGCAGTACTTCCCTTCCTATGGAATAGCCGGCTTACCGCCATCAGACTCTCCCCTAGTCTCCAATCGTTTAAGAAGTGCCCTAAAACCCATCTCTTTAGGAAAGCTCATGGCCTCCCAGACTAACCTCTACCTCACATACCTGTTGCTCTCTCCTAAAGGGCAGCACTCTACTCTCTCCTCCAGCTCTGCTTCACTCCCACCTTATTTGATTTCTATTTCCTGTCCTAACGTGTCTTATACCCCACCTCCTATAGAATGTAAGCTTGTTTGAGCAGGGTCCTCTTCAACCTATCGTTCCTGTAAGTTTTTTTGTAATTGTCCTATTTATAGTTAAATCCCCTCTCTCATAATATTGTAAAGCGCTACGGAATCTGTTGTCGCTATATAAATGGCGATAATAATAATAATGTACCTGTCCTCTGCTGATCTCTAACCATCCCTCTTGATTCATGCCTCAGATATAGGCCTCAATTTAAAGTTCTGGTACTTACAAAGTTTATTCTGTTGTGGGTGCACTGTTTGTGCGAATTAATAATGTGTATATTTAAAGGTGCATTGTCAGTGTTAATAAGTGTGTGTTTGTGGATGTAGTGCTAGTGTGAGTGAACGTGTGTATTTCCTGCTGTAATGTTAGTGCGAATAAGTATGTGTGTGTATATGTAGAGCAGTGGCAGTCTAAATGCAATGGGCATACTTGTAATGAAAGGGCAGAATAACATCTACACACATTTTTATTATTAAAGTGGAATCTGCAAACTTTGCTTTCATCATTTCAGATCATATCTTTTTACATGTGATACCACTTTGAAAAGCATTTCTCAAAATAAATAATGCAGGCTCATGGAATCGGCTCTAAGATTAATTATGTTGCTAGAATCAGTCCAGGTGTAAGAGATTTTCTCTACAAATGTCAGTATTCCCAACTTATCCCCAGTATTCCGACAGCCCTTTCCTGGCCAGTCTCCATATTCCATGATAGTGTGACCGGCAGTGCACCGTGCCCTATAGTCCCTCATTCCTCTCCATTTTTCTATCAGTGTTACGTTGTGGTCTCCTTCCAGTCGTCCTGTTCCGTCCTCTCTTGTACTGCTTGTGCCCTTCCTTTCAGTTGTGTTTGTTCTCTCGCAAGTTACATGCTTTCTTCCTCTTCCATAGCTCTCTTTTTGCTCACTTTTCTTTAATTTATTTTATATATATATATTCTTTCAATACTCACAGAAAGGATTATAATTTTAAAAACTATTCTTGAGGTCCTTTAACGTAGACTAATAACTATGAAAACCAATAAGATCAGCTGTAAGAGTCCATTGCTTTCCTTGGTGACTGAGTCTAGTTCTCTCTTAAAATTCTCTGTTTCCGTTTCAGGATGGACAGATCTACTGTGGGTTAGTGACGTGCCCGGAGTTGGTTTGTTCCTCTCCACTTACCGTCCCAGATTCCTGCTGCCCAGTCTGCAGAGGTAAGTGTTCAAAGTCCCCAGAATTATTCCCTATATACCGGAATAATCTCTGGCAATCAAGTCCTTATACAAAAATAAAGGGGCTCCTATACTGTAATTAAAACCCCTTATGCCATGGTAACTCATATTACAGGTATCATTAATAATATCTGCATATGGTATGTGAAAATATTCTACAGTATTTTAATTATTACAATATAATAATAAAACACAAAGTATTTCAATATTTTGGCAGAATATTAATTGAGGTTCAAAATTTGCAGTCTCCAGGAATTCTCCAAGTTAGTTTCATTTAGTGGGTAAAATGTTTTGGATTGGAATTGGTGGCCCTTTTTGGGCAGCCTGCTCTTACAGTCCAATCCAATAATGTCCAGGATTCTTGGCTTAAATATATGGGGTATCTTTAGGCCCATGAATTGGCTATGGTGGCATGTCATTGTTCTTTATTGTTATTTTTTTGCAACAATATAATGGGTTGAATGTATGGCTAGAAAATAACTTTGCGGTCAGTCTATAGCAGCCCCTGATGTATGTTACTTCCATTTTTTCTGACAAAAGCAGATCACTGAGCGTGTGGGACATTTGTAGTTATGCCATTCTGTATTCACTTTTTTTTATACAAATTTTTTAAACGTATCTAATTTCAAAGAGTTTTAAAATGTTAATGGTTGCTGAGTGACAGTTTTTTTTTTTATATGTGTTTTGCAGACAGTTCATATGAGAGATCAGGAGAAGAGGAACAACTCCAGTTAAACAGAGGTGTTGTACGTGACATTTCATTTTCTAAACAAAAAAATGTATTGAGTCTTTTTTAAAATGCAAATGTTGGTTGGAATCATTTAGAACATGTCACAATTTAATCAGATCTTTTGTAAAACCGTAATTGGATCCATACAATTATTTGGTGACGGGAAAGCAGACAATTGCATTTTCGTAGAAAAAAAATATTATCTTGTTTGTAGTCCGACTCAAATATTTGACCTCCTAGCATTGGGCATCCAAGTGACTACGCATGTTACTGGTGAAGCCCATAATGGTTGGAGCACTGGTTGCTGACTGATGGGTTCTGTATGTCTGACCCCCAGCCCACAAGACCTTGCAGAGAGTGCTGCTGAAGTGCTGTCTGCTGGGTCCTAGTACACATTAACAGCGATAACACGCCTAATGGTGTGCTTGCGCTGTGCTGTCTGAGGATAGTTCCCGGGAGACTAAGGATGGTGGGACAGGAGCACAAAAATGGGACTGTCCCATCAAAATCGAGATTGCTAACTGACATGTATCTCTGTGTGAAGTTCTGTTACGACAGAGGGAGGATACATATGTCTTGCCCGAGATGAGGCCTCCAAGCTTCATTGAGGTAATCCTTACATTATTACCCATTCATTATGTGAATGATATCATCGATGAAGTCGCCATCCGTGCTTTACGGAAAGTTCATACAACTACAGTAGAATATATATAAAAAAGTAAAGTTTAAATAAATCTATATATATTCAAAATGTTTTAACTTTTTCTATTGTGGCCTATAAATGTAATTTCTAGGTCAATTACCAACAACTCCCAGCTTACACAATATTTCTTTTTATTTTTTTAAAGGAACACTTCAGTAACCATAAGATCTTCATCTAAATGAAATTGTTATGGTGCCAGAGAGCCCCTGGGTCTAACCCAAAATGCTGCCGCCAGCCCTTGATATCCATGTCCCCCAGCAGTATTCAGGTTCTAAAACCAAGGCTCGGGAAAAACAGAGTGCATTAGGCAGGGGAGCTGATGATTGGCTAGAGCAGACAGCTGATGCTGAAAACCAATCAGTCGCTCCACATTTGTAAAATAAGGCTGGGTGACCTGGTGCACTGGAGGCATCCTTTGGGGTTAAACTGCAAGGCAAGAGAGAACCTCCTGGTATTATTGATGAAGTTGTTATGATGACGAAGTGTTCCTCTAACTATACTTTTACATTAAACATAAATACTATTTTATCCCATGTTATTGTGCTGTTTATCTCATGTTTCAAATTAGTCACCAATTGTCCACTGCCCCATACCAGTTCTTAATTCTCAGTTATTGCACAATGACTGCACAGTGAAATATACCCAGAGATATACAGCTAGATAGCCACTTGTGTTCGGTATTTTAGCATGCTTAGTTTTTTACAAGTCCCGTGTGCATACCCCCCAACATTAGGAATTATGATTGGAATATAAAGGCGAAAAATAAAGAGTATGGGGCAAGACAATGATTCTTGAGAAGAGTACTCAACCCAACACCCAACACAATGGTTCCCCCCAAAAAGAGTAATTCTGGCTGTCATGCATCCTTGGCTGAATAGCAATCTTGCTGGCCAATCCCATTCAGAGCTGCCTTAGCATAGTGCTACTAAATTCCCTGAATGTCAGTTCACACAGTGCAAGCGTTTCTATTGATTCTTTTATTTCTTCTTATTGGGGATACCGAAGTTGGACACAAGATAACAAACTTGGTGTAGGGGGTAAAGTCCCAAATTTGGTGCTATCCCACTAAACCTGTAGTTGTCAGGAGGTGTGGATGTGCCTGGGGTTTGGCATAGGGGATAAGTGATGTTTTGTAATTAGGAATGTTATATAAGAGGTAAAACCATCAAGTTTTTAAGGCGGCTTGTATTGATAGTAATAGAAATTGCCACAAGGAATTATCATTGAAAAATTTTTTTATTACACGAGAAAAATAAACTGTTTCCATTTTTCATTAGTTCCTGGGATCTGTACAATATGGTAGAACAGAAAAACAGAACTCTTTCATTTTTAACCATTCATTAAATGTAGTAAAGGCCCTGAATTGTTACATTTTTATTTTGGAAATAGTTTAGGCATTATTTGGGTTGAATTCCAGAGGTTTCTGGACCAATTTGAATGCATGCATGGAGGTTCCAATATAAAGATAATTCAAGGCAGTTTGGAGAAGACCTCACTCGGTTTGTTGAATGATTCATTTTTATTATTATTTAGACCATTTTCTTAGACTTTGTTATTAAAAATCCAGGCCTTAAATAACCCGTAACGAGCTGTAGGAGAAAACCACCAAATGTAGGCACAGAAATCGGGGGGTTATTGGTAATGATTGTGAAAGTGTCTGTTTTGGGTCTGCTAGAGGCATTCTCAGGACCAGTGTCTGACTGAGCTTCTCAACAAAAGGTCTCCGGGTGCCACAGCGTCCACCCTTATCAGCTCATCACTTGGCTTCAATCCCCGGAGCTTCAAACAGAAAGGTGGTGGAGGAGGCACGACAGTGAAAATTCTGATGAAAGAAAAGCATAAAAAAGGTATGCATGCTGACCGTCTCTATAAAAATATAATAATGACAAACTTAAAGGGTTGATTCCCTCTAAACAGTTTTGTGGGGAAGGATGAAAAGGGAAGGACTCCTCCCCAAGTAATACCGGTTTATGGTGTCTTAGATGAAGGAGCACTCGAGTGCTAGAAATAAATACATTTATTTGCAACACTAGTGATGTCGGTCACTAGTGAGGGTCCTTCAAACAAATCGAATTTTTCTCAAAGAGAAGGGCTGGACTACTAGGGTGCTTTCATCCTGGCTCCTTGTCAGTCGTTATTATAAACTCTGTCCATTGCACCTGGCAGTCGGCATAAAGATCGCATACAGAGTAGAGGGAAATGAAGCGATGTTTATAATTATTCTCTTCATTTGCATTGCTTGCCCTGTCTGTGCCTTGTTTGAAATGGATGGTGATGTCATTTGCTATATCTTTAATATAAATTTTAAAAAACCGAAAGCCTCTCAAGAAATAAAAAATTTTAAGACACATTATAGGAATGTAATCCCTAGACAATACGCCTCGTAACCAGGATAAAAAATAAAAATAAAAAAAAATTAAATTTTTTATTTTAGTTGTGCAAAAGGTTGATATACAGGTTGTTGTCCAACGACAACATATACAGGTATTGCAAGTTATGTAAAATCGTGGTAAGCGATAGGACTGCACAGTTTTTTTTGTTTTTTTTTAATAAAACAGGTTCATTCAGGTTATGTCAGCTTATGGGAGGGCAATAAGATTGAATGAATGAGACAATTTTTGGCTGATTTTAGAGGAGTCAAAGATGCAAAAGTGAAACATTATATACGTAGAAAGTTACAAGGTGAGGAGTGTCACTAGTGCTGCACGATTAAATACTAGAACAATCACACATTGGGTGGGTGTATGTAAAAACCCTCTCTATTCTTCAAGCAAGATGTACACATACTGTGTGGAAAGCGTCTCACTCTTGTAATTTAAGTCACATAAAAGATGTACAAGTAGTATGTTCGATTAGCTAGTTTAAATCCTGGTTACTAAGGGACGAGCGGTATTGAGCGATGGCGTGGCCTGTAAGAGCTATGCATTGCCACCAGTACTCATGGCCTGTGCTCGGGTAGTCTTTATAGTGTAGTAGGGCATTTACGGTACGAGGTGCTTACATACTTTACAGTTAAGTTTAGCTAGTTACGTCCTCTAACCTAGGAGGACACGGGGGTAAACATACTAGCGCACATGAGTGGGGTCACCAGCAGTTATATCAACATGGAAATAAAAATTAAATACTAAACATGAACACAATTAAAGGTAACATTAATAAGAGACGTGTTCTTGTGGTGCTACGGGTTTCATGTCCCATCTTTTGTGCTGTCACTGCCTCTGGGGATGAAAGTTATTAGCTGTTTTGGGTCCCAGGCTTGTGGGTTAATGGAGTGGCTGGAGTTAGGGTCTGCGTTGGTATTCCTAATGCTTCGAAGAAGGAGGGGCACTCTGCCGGTGAGGTAAGTCTCAGCGTGGTGTTATTCTTAATGTAACCAGCATTTTTAAAGGGGGACTGTTACTTATATAGAAAATAACATTAAATAAAACATTGAAAATTCCCTATAACTCGTGGTAACCTTTTTCTTCATGTGAGCTTCAGTTTTCTGTAAAATGCTTAATAAAGGTTTAGCATTCCAGTTTAGTTCAGGCACAGCCAGGGCACACAATGCAAATGAAGAGGAGAAATAGAAACATTGTTTCCTGTTTCCACTTCTCTGTGTGCTTTCTCAATGCTGACTGCCAAGTGCAAAGCACAGGGCTCATAACAATGACTAACAGGGAGCTAAGATGGAGGCACCCAGTTGCTGAATTAATTAGTGTGAATTTCTAAATTGACAATTATTTTTTTCATACCTCACAAATACAGTCAGGTCCATAAATATTGGGACATCGACACAATTCTAATCTTTTTGGCTCTATACACCAACACAATGGCTTTGAAATGAAACACACAAGATGTGCTTTAACTGCAGACTTTCAGCTTTAATTTGATGGTATTTACATCCAAATCAGGTGAACGGTGTAGGAATTATAACAGTTTGTATATGTGCCTCCCACTTTTTAAGGGACCAAAAGTAATGGGACAATTGGCTGCTCAGCTGTTCCATGGCCAGGAGTGTGTTATTCCCTCATTATCCCATGTACAAGGAGCAGATAAAGGGTCCAGAGTTCATTTCAAGTGTGCTATTTGCATTTGGAATCTGTTGCTGTCAACTCTCAATATGAGATCCAAAGAGCTGTCACTATCAGTGAAGCAAGCCATCATTAGGCTGAAAAAACAAAACAAACCCATCAGAGAGATAGCAAAAACATTAGGTGTGGCCAAATCAACTGTTTGGAACATCCTTAAAAAGAAAGAACGCACCGGTGAGCTCAGCAACACCAAAAGACCCGGAAGACCACGGAAAACAACTGTGGTGGATGACCGAAGAATTCTTTCCCTGGTGAAGAAAACACCCTTCACAACAGTTGGCCAGATCAAGAACACTCTCCAGTAGGTAGGTGTATGTGTGTCAAAGTCAACAATCAAGAGAAGACTTCACCAGAGTGAATACAGAGGGTTCACCACAAGATGTAAACCATTGGTGAGCCTCAAAAACAGGAAGGCCAGATTAGAGTTTGCCAAACAACATCTAAAAAAGCCTTCACAGTTCTGGAACAACATCCTATGGACAGATGAGACCAAGATCAACTTGTACCAGTGTGATGGGAAGAGAAGAGTATGGAGAAGGAAAGGAACTGCTCATGATCCAAAGCATACCACCTCATCAGTGAAGCATGGTGGTGGTAGTGTCATGGCGTGGGCATGTATGGCTGCCAATGGAACTGGTTCTCTTACATTTATTTATGCTGTGACTGCTGACAAAAGCAGCAGGATGAATTCTGAAGTGTTTCGGGCAATATTATCTGCTCATATTCAGCCAAATGCTTCAGAACTCATTGGACGGCGCTTCACAGTGCAGATGGACAATGACCCGAAGCATACTGCAAAAGCAGTGGAAAGAAGTGGAATGTTATGCAATGGCAAAGTCAATCACCTGACCTGAATCCGATTGAGCATGCATTTCACTTGATGAAGACAAAACTGAAGGGAAAATGCCCCAAGAACAAGCAGGAACTGAAGACCGTTGCAGTAGAGTCCTGGCAGATCATCACCAGGGATGAAACCCAGCGTCTGGTGATGTCTATGCGTTCCAGACTTCAGGCTGTAATTGACTGCAAAGGATTTGCAACCATGTATTAAAAAGTGAATGTTTGATTTATGACTGTTAATCTGTCCCATTACTTTTGGTCCCTTAAAAAGTGGGAGGCACATATACAAACTGTTGTAATTCCTACACCGTTCACCTGATTTGGATGTAAACACCCTCAAATTAAAGCTGAAAGTCTGCAGTTATAGTGCATCTTTGTTTCATTTCAAAGCCATTGTGTTGGTGTATAGAGCCAAAAAGATTAGAAATGTGTTGATGTCCCAATATTTATGGACCTGACTGTACATGTCTTTTTAAAAAAAATTTTTTTACATTCTTTATTTTTGGAGCGCCGTGTCAGATACAAGGTTATTTAATGACAGTTGACAAGTGACATATGATATAACAACAACTTATAGGTAGACTTCTTGCTTTTTTTTTTAAAGGAACATACAGGCTTAACATACTTGTCTAGGTAGATAGAACCATCAAGGAGACACATTTAGAGAAACACTAGACTTAGGTGGAAATAGGAAAATACATGCCTTGAGTAACAGGCTAGTGAAGACATTGGTAAATCCACTGGCACAGAATAAATGCTGTATACTATGTAGTCAAGAGAAAAAAACAACACAACACTGGTGGCTAGAAACTAATAATATAAGTCAAACATAACAAATAAGGATTTTACAAACATTGCTCTTAATATATAAACGTGTAAGGAGATGTCAGTTAGGAAGCTGGAGCTATTTAAGGTAAGTGGGCTGTTAGCCCATAGAGGCAAGTCCATCTTCAGCCATTGCCCCGGCTCGGGGCCTTAGTATTGTAACTGTAAGGCACCGCATTAGCCAATTCCTGGGCCTGAGAGGCTGGCTGCCAATATATGAAGGTTGCTGAGGATAATAGTGCAATTCGGACGAGGTAAGACGCTCTTTCAGCCCCAGACCTGTTGAAGGCTGGCATCTTGATACCACGGACTTTGCTGTGAGAGTTCTTCCCATAGTGGGAGATTCGAAAGGCCCAGTTGTTGAGCCGCCAGGTGGACAATGCTGTGGGGACAAACCCTACACCCCGATATTCACACAATGACCCTCCACACACCTACACCCCAATATTCATACAATGACCCTCCACACACCTACACCCCGATATTCACACACTGACCCTCCACACACCTACACTCCGATATTCACACAATGACCCTCCACACACCTACACCCCAATATTTGCACAATGACCCTCCACACTCCTACACACCGATATATTCACACAATGACCCTACACACCGACACCTCGATATTCACACAATGACCCTCCACACATCTACACCCCGATATTCGCACAATGACCCTCCACACACCTATACCTCAATATTCACAAAATGACCCTCCACACACCTACACCACGATATTTACACACTGACCCTCCACACACCTACACCCCAATATATTCACACACTGACCCTTCACACACCTACACCCCAATATTCACACAATGACCCTCCACACACCTACACCCCGATATTTACACACTGACCCTCCACACACCTACACCCTGATATATTCACACACTGACCCTCCATACAGCTACACTCCGATATTCACACAATGACCCACAACACACCTACACCCCGATATTCATACAATGACCCTCCACACACCTACACCCCGATATATTTACACACTGACCCTACACACACCTACACCCCTATGTATTCACACACTGACCCTCCACACACCTATACCCCGATATTCACACAATGACCCTACACACACCTACACCCCGATATATTTACACACTGACCCTACACACACCTACACCCCGATATATTCACACAATGACCATCCACAAACCTACACCCCGATATTCACACACTGACCCTCCACACACCTACATCCCGATATTAACACACTGACCCTCCACACAACTACACCCCGATATTCACACACTGACCCTACACACACCTACACCCCGATATTTACACAATGACCCTCCACACACCATGATATTCACACACTGACCCTCCACACACCTATACCACGATTTTTACACACTGACCCTCCACACACCTACACCCCGATATTTACACACTGACCCTCCACACACCTACACCCCGATACTCACACAATGACCCTCCACACACCTACACCCCGATATTCACACAATGACCCTACACAGACCTACACCCAGATATTCACACACTGACCCTCCACACACCTACACCCTGACATTCACACACTGACCCTACAGACACCTACACCCCGATGTGCACACACTGAACCTCCACACACCTACACCCCAATATTCACACACTGATCCTACACACACCCACACCCCGATATATTCACACACTGACCCTCCACACACCTACACCCTGATATTCACACACTGACCCTCCATCTACACCCCGATATTCACACACTGACCCTCCACACACCAACACCCCGATATTCACACACTGACCAAGAGAAAAAAACACAACACCTACACCCCGATATTCACACATTGACCCTCCACACACCTACACCCCAATATTCTCACAATGACCCTCCACACACCATGATATTCACACACTGACCCTCCACACACCTATACCACGATTTTTACACACTGACCCTCCACACACCTACACCCCGATATTTACACACTGACCCTCAACACACCTACACCCCGATACTCACACACTGACCCTCCACACACCTACGCCCGATGTGCACACAATGACCTCCACACACCTACACCCCGATATTCACACACTGACCCTACACACACCTACACCCCGATATATTCACACACTGACCCTCCACACACCTACACCCTGATATTCACACACTGAATCTCCATCTATACCACGATTTTTACACACTGACCCTCCACACACCTACACCCCGATATTTACACACTGACCCTCAACACACCTACACCCCGATACTCACACACTGACCCTCCACACACCTACGCCCGATGTGCACACACTGAACCTCCACACACCTACACCCCGATATTCACACAATAACCCTACACACACCCCTACACCCCCATATTCACACACTGACCCTACACACACCTACACCCCTATATATTCACACACTGACCCTCCACACACCTACACCCTGATATTCACACACTGAATCTCCATCTACACCCCGATATTCACACACTGACCCTCCACACACCTACACCCTGATATTCACACACTGAATCTCCATCTACACCCCGATATTCACACACTGACCCTCCACACACCTACACCCCGATATTCACACATTTACCCTCCACACACCTACACCCCAATATTCGCACAATGACCCACCACACACCTATACCACGATTTTTACACACTGACCCTCCACACACCTACACTCCAATATTCACACACTGACCCTCCACACACCTACACCCCGATATTCACACACTGACCCTCCACACACCTACACCCCGATATTCACACACTGACCCTCCACACACCTACACCCCGATATTCACACACTGACCCTCCACACACCAGCACACCGATATTCACACACTGACCATCCACAAATCTACACCCCAATATTAACACACTGACCCTCCACACACCTACACCCCAATATTAACACACTGACCCTCCACACACCAACACCCCGATATTCACACAATGACCCTCCACACACCTACACCCCGATATTTACACACTGACCCTCCACACACCTACACCCTGATAGTCACACAATGACCATCCACAAACCTACACCCAAATATTCACACACTGACAACCTGATATTCACACACTGACACCCCGATAGTCACACACTGACCCTTTTTAAAATGAATCATTATTACTAATTACAAGAATCTTAGAATTCCCTCTGTTAATAACACATTTTGGGATGAAAATTAAAAGACTTCCTTTTATATACCCAAAGAACTGCATAAAAGAATAACACAGATAAAAAAACAACATAAAATAAACACAATATCTTCAAAGCACTGAGAATTTATTGTACACAGTGTATCACAACTGGCTGCCCAACCCAAATACAGCATCAGCCTTCAAGTGCATCATGTACCGAATAGAGTCAGCCTTTGGTACAAGATTCATGGAGAGTGACTGCATCATTCATAGATTGAATTGGTATTGGTAATAGTGATTTAAATGTCCAGTTTAAACTAATTTCTACTCTACAAAATGACTTGACAGAAACTTGCATTGTACACCAAAATTAGTATTAGATCGTGAACAAAGTTTCAGAATTTTCTTATGATTGTTTAAAGGGACCTCATTGTGCCTTTTGGGTCTTTCATAGCCCAACAGACACTTCAGTTTTTACACTCTAAGCTTGCCTGTCCTGGCACAGCCAAAGCATACTATGCAAATTAATTTAACCTCACAGCCATGCATGCATACAGGTATAATATTAATATATATCCGGGCACACATTGGCTCATTCAGCATTTCATATTTATTTTGCATCATGGGTCAATGGCATGCCTGCTCTAAAGATGCTCCAGAGGTAAGTGTGTGTGTTTACTTACCTCAACTGCCCTACTTCACTTCAGTGAGTGTTTGTTTTCACTGGGATGATAGAGCAACAGTTCCACTTACCAGTGGCGTACACAAGATCCATGGGGCCCCGGTGCGAAAATTGATCCGTGGGCCCCCCCTGCGCGCTTACTCTGTGCGGGCCGAGGCCACTAGACATGGCGGCGGGCACCTGGTTCATGCAGATACACTTAAAGGACCACTGTAGGCACTCAGATCACTTCAGCTCAATGACTGGGTCTAGGTGCCAGGTCCCTCTAGTTTTAACCCTGCAGCTGAAAACATAGCAGTTTCAGAGAAACTGCTGCAATGTTTACACTGAGGGTTAAGCCAGCCTCTAGTAGCTGTCTAACTGACAGCCGCTAGAGGCGCTTCCGCGATTCTGCTGGACGTCCATAGGAAAGCATTGAGTAACGGTTTCCTATGGGCGGTTTGAATGCGCATTCGGAGCTGAGAGGCGGATCGGGGCAGAGAGATCCCCAGCGCCAAGGGAGCCTGGCGCTGGAAAAAGGTAAGTGCTGAATGGGTTTTAACTACACACACACTCTCACGAACAGATGCATACACACTAGCTAACAGACACAGACATTTACTGACAGACACACACTCAGTGACAGACACACATACACACTCACTTACAAAACATACACTCTCACTGACAAACACACACTCACTAACAGACACACACAAACTAACACACACAGTAACACACACACACACACTGACACTCACTAGCAGACACACACTTAATAACAGACACACAAACACACTCAGTGACACACTTACTGACACTAGCAGACACAAACACACACAGTAACACACTCACTGACACACACAAACTAACACACTCATTAACAGACACACGCACTGACACACACACACTAACACACATACACACACATATTTTTTATTTTTTTATTTAATCCTCCAGCCTCCCTACCTTTGGGAGTGCTGTGGGGATTCCTGCTGTCCCTGGGGTCCAGTGGGGCTGCTGGGCTGCTGGGCGGCCGGACGCGTGCGAAGGAGCACTCTCCCCTGAGTGCTCTCTGCCCAGCTCCCTCGCGCGCCGCTTACTGATGCCGAAGCCGGAATATGATGTCATATTCCGGCTTCGGCATCAGTGCAGTGTGCGCGTGGGAGCTGGGCAAAGAGCACTCAGGGGAGAGTGCTCCCTCGCGCGCCTGCCCGGCCGCCGGCAAACTGAAACCATTGCCAGCCCGCGACCCCTGCTGCCCCGGTATGTACGCCACTGGGTGATATCTGTTGTAAATTCCAGATTAAGGAAGACATGTGATTAATCCAGTCATTGTACAGCGCTGCGGAATTTGTTGGCGCTTTATAAATATTATTATTAATAGTAATAATAATTTAAAGGAAGATACATGTGGCTTGATTTAAGGTAATGAGGTTGTCATTGTGTCTCTCTGCAGCCTGTGTTTACAATGGGAAAACCTATTCACACGGGGAGGTCTGGCACCCAGTTTTTCGCACCTTTGGTGCCATCCCATGCATTATATGCACCTGTAAAGATGGGACGCAGGACTGCCAGCGAATCACCTGTCCGGATGAATACCCATGTGAATTTCCAGAGAAGCAGGAAGGGAAATGCTGTAAAGTTTGCCAAGGTCAGTACAGGTCAAAGTGTGTATTATGTGCCCAAAACCTGCTTTAAAGGGACAGTTCAAACACCATAACCACATGTGTTTCTTGTATATATTATGGTGGAAAGAACGTCCGCTCTCTTTTCATCTATGCTTCTACCAGGGTTATTTACTACGATGAGAATTTAAATCCAAAGTAATAATATCCAATGTAATCAATTATCCACAAACGCAGGAGTAATATATGCACACAGAGCTTAAATCCACAGGCAGCTCACACCTGATTATCTACAGTGAACCCAATCCTTTGCTGTATGGAATGCGTTGGTTCAACCACACAAAGGAATGCACAAAATAGACGGATAACAGCAACCGGATTTCAAAGTAAAAAGTTAATCTTTATTCTCCTATGTATGGGTATTGGCATTCATTCAGCAACATGCGGCATGCAACGTGACAAAGTGGAGTTTGGTTAAAGTACAAGAGTTCCGCTGTTATCTGTCACTTTGTCACGTTCCATGCTGCATGTGGCTGAATTCATTTTAATACCCTCATATAGGAGAATAAAGAAGATTAACTTTTTACTTTGAAATCTGGTTGTTGTTATCTGTCTGTTTATAAAACTGAAGTAGTCAAATTGTAAACATAGCTGACTTTGAGAACTTTTCCAGTTCAACTAGTTTGGACTTAAATTTGAAATTCAATTTGAATTCCTGACCATTCTTATTTTACAGAATAACCCTGTATATTATTATTATTATTATCATCATTTATATAGCGCCAACAGATTCCGTAGCGCTTTACAATATTAGTATATATGAACCTCTACTCTACACATAAGTTCTATGTGTGTGGATGCATGGCATGCACCCTTTGTAAACAATTAAGTGACTTACATGCATGTTTTCACATCTTTCTATCTGTATAGAACAAACCAATAAAGTTATGGTGAGGAAAAAAATGATTGAAACCCCTTCCACCTGAAGTCAGTGGATAGTAAATACATTGTTAAAGACAGATCTGCATATATCAAACAAGCCTTAAAACTTGCTTTTCCCACAAAAATCTCACATTTGCAGTGCTGTTACCACTACAAGGGATTCTGGGTGGGCATATGCAAATGAGTTCAACAAAGAACCACATTTTTGCCTCATTTAGTCAACTTTATACATGGATTCCTTGGAGTTTGTTTGTTGTATACAACAACTTTGAAACAGAACTCAGGAAGAGATACAGTGAACCATTCATGTACAGCTGTTTCATTGTTAATCAGCATGAGGTTGGTTACTGGCTTGCTACTACGGCTTGGTGTTACTTGTTATGAGAGTTATGTTGGGGAAACCATGTTGGAACTTGTCTGTACTGCTGTTATACAAATGCACAAAAACATGATTCAATATGTTTGTTAAATTTAAAGGAATCAATGGATGCATGCTATTAACTAGTAATTTTTTTCATGAATGAACGGCTGAAGGAAGAATGTGGCTTGTTTTATGTTAATAAAGTTGTCATTGAATCGCTGTAGCTTGTGTTTATTGCTGGGAAAATTAAAGAGACACTATAGTCACCAAAACAACTTTAGCTTAATGATATAAAGATTATGACCCTGCAGTCTCACTGCTCAATTCTCTGCCATTCATGCATTAAACCACTTTGTTTATGCACCCTAGTTACACCTCCCTGCATGTGACTTGCACAGCCTTCCTAAACAGTTCCTGTAAAGAGTGATCTAATGTTTATACTACTTCCTTTATTGCAAATTCTGTTTAATTTTAAAAAGTCTTATCTCCTGCATGGTTAATAGCTGGCTATATCCTGCAGGAGCCTCCTGTATGCAATTAAAGTGCAATTTAAAGAGCAGGAGATACAAACTTTTAAAGTAAGTTACATATGATTAAAATTGAAACCAATTTTATTCATGCAGGCTGTGTAAGTCGCAGCCAGGGGAGGTGTGTCTAGTGTTGCATGGATGCAAACAAATGTGATTTGACTTCTAAATGGCAGAAAATTGGGCAGTGAAACATCAGAGGCATTATCTATACACTAAAACTGCTTCATTAAGCCAAAGTTGTTTTGGTGACTATAGTGTCCCTTAAACTTCTTCCATATAAACTGATGCTATTTTTTTCTTTTTTGCCGTTTTTGTTTCAGTCTGTTTCCTTTAAAAATACAGTATATATTATTCCCAGATAGATTAAAATTGGCACACAAAAAAAACGCACATTACAATTTGTGAGGGCTATGACAATGGTTCTGTATTACAGTTTATTATTATTATTTTTTTCCTGAAAATTGCCTTCTCTGCCTAGATGATAAGATGAATCCCACAGATGAAACCCCAACCACCAGGTGTGTTAAAAGCCCGAACAAGATCTTAGTTTATATGTACATGTCACCCACCACTGGAGGACAGAAAGAAATTCTACGGAAAATCGCCATTGAGAAGGAGGCATCAGAGGATGTCGAAATATACGTTTGGAAAATGGTTAAAGGTAAAAAAAAAAAAAAAAATGCTCTGTGAAAACAATTAAAAAAACCCCATTAAACTAAAATCTCATTTATAGATATTTAAATACATAAACATTCTCATTTGTCAACAGAAGTTTAAAAATTTAGTGTGGAGTTTTTCAGCATCCGGGGGAGGCAACTAACCCCTGTCTTATAATTTTTTCTGTGTGATGAGGATAGTGTCAGGCAAATGTACCTGTTTCTGTAAATAGTGAAAGTGGAATTGCAACTTCGGATATTGAACAGAAACTAAACTTGGATATTCGTTTTGGTCTGAACTTCAATTTGTCTGAATTTGGACCAATCAGATGATCAGTCTAATTCCTGAACTCTGAGCCGAAAAGTACCCTTATCACGAATCAAGTGGAACGTGCAATGTCCGAGTGTGTCTTTTTCGGTTTATGATTCTGAATTCTGCCCTGATACTGAAAAAGATTGATAACTAGAGGACAGTTACTTAATATTCATTGTATTCACAGATCAAGTTAGAATTGAGCCACAGGAAAAACAGAGGAATATTAAAAAAGCTATATTTATACATTATAGATTTCCAAAAAATGACATCATATATAAATCATTTTTACCGCTATTCTTTCCTCTGTTAGTTACTTTTTCTCATTTGATCTGTGAACCAACATGCTGCTATCAGTATACTGGTATAAAATATATACATAATACTATATTCATATATAGATAATAATAGTATGCATATATTTTGCAGTACAGTGGCCCATATTTTAGCGCCCTTATGGTTCGTTTGATTTGGTTCTTGAACTAGGTCTCTGTTACCAAAATTCTGCCGAATTGGCATTTGGTCAAAATTCCAGTGTCCCAAAAATTCGGGCAAGCAGAATTTTATTGCCATGCACAAGTTAAACAGAAATGCTTATCCACCTTAGAAGAACTGTGATCCCTTAAAGATAATGTTTGGGGATACTGAAAAGCGGAATTTATTGCAATTTGGCAAAATTAATTTAGGCTTAGACTGAAAATTATGGGAAATATAGTTTGCAAACATATGGGGTTCCAAGGATCGTCATTATTGACCTTGACACCAACCAGGAGAAGGATATCATATATAAAACTGGGACGAGGTACAGAGAACTAAAATCAGTACTGTCCAGCCCAGACTTGGGACAGTTGGGAGATGATTGACACATAGCATCATATTTTCTACTTTATTGTTTGTTTTGTGATTCTGCATTTGTTCTAATGTAATATTTTTCCATTTCTCTACAGGGATATTCCATTTGATCCAAATTAAAAAAGTGGCAAAACAGGACTTCAAGCAAGAGGCAGAAAATTTCAGACTTGTAACCAGAACAAGTGAAGGTACATTAGTTCTAACATAGACTTCACTTTGCCAATTTCAGTTGTTTTTTTATCACTTATTCCTGCCAAGGGGAACTACTAAAAAATGTTACAGTTGACACACTTTATGCTTGCTGAGCCCATAAAGCATTGCCCTCGTGTAAAAGTGAGCAGGACTGGTCAAATTATGTCCTGATTTGGTGACAGCTTGTTGCATAGACTTTGGTGGGCCATCAAATGTGTGTTTGTTTTTTTATTTTTGGAAAATGTTGAATTATACATGTATCCAATGTTTTGAGATAAAATGGGCCATCTTGAACCTTGAGAAAACTCCCTACTGTGGTTCAGACAGGGGTTTACATGCGTTTCTAGGTATTTATGGGAAGACATTTCCCTGTCCCGCTTTTATAATGCTGTAGTATAATAAGGAATGTTTATTACTCTGTGGTGGGACAAGACCTCCCAAGTTTAGAGATTCCATGGTTGGGCGGATTTTCCTAAAATATTTATGGAGTTCTTCTTTTCCATTATGTGTGTTTCAGTCTCCTGGGCTCTTACAAATATACATATTGTACATGATACTATTTGTCTTTAGGTTTTTCATCGTAGAATAAACTATGCAAAGCTTCGACCGGCATTTAAATTCTGAAGTTTAACAACAAACAAACCAAAAACACAACCATTTTTAATATGGAATTGCTTGTATTTGACATTCAAATGTATCTAGTCCTGAGTTTCTCACTGTCTGTATTAGTGCAGGCATGCTTGCGTAAAGATCGTCTAAAGAGCAAAGTGAACATGGGTATTCTCTGCAGGCATATCTGTTTATAACAGGAGACATAGAAAATGTAATACTTATATTTCAAGCAAACCAAGCTGTGAAAAAAAACAAACCAATAGTTTGTTTAGGAAAATATAAGGGAGGAGAATATGTATCGTGACTGTAAGACTTCTGATCTTTTATAGATCCAAGAAATAAGGGACCAAGGCTTCCCTTTCCAAGCTTGCTGCCTGCATAGAGAGAAGCTGATGTTTGTGCCAGCATGGGTTCATGTGTGCCAGGGTGGACGTAGTCTGTGGCACAAAATTGCAAATATCGCTCAATGTGCAGAGTTTCAAGCAGAAACACTTCATATATTCATATAATGAATCCTACCACCATGGGCATCCCCCCCAAATTTTTTGTTGTTGGTGGATGGGGGGTGGAGTGGAGGGTGGCATAATTGTAATGACACTAAAAACAGAATAAACAGGATGCCCCACAAAATATAATATACCAAAACAGTAATACACCCTAGAATAAGCACAATAAAAACACAAAAACTAAAAACATTTTTAAAAATATACTAACATTCCAAATTCTTTTTATAAGAATAAAAAAATAATAAATACCACTAAAAATAGGGCACAACGGAGGTGTCCAGATGAACAGTCTTATCTTGTAAAGAGAAATACAGTAGAGATTCAGTCATTGACGGAATCCGTGTGATTATGTATTTAAGAAAGCACAACAAAGAATCCAATAGTGCATTATGTCAGTACAGACAGGAACAAATAATGATGGGTTACTCACATTTGCTAGAGCTATGACCAGCTCTAGACCAAAAAGGTACATGACAATTGTTTATTTTACAATAGTCTTTGACTACTCAGGCAAAGATGAGATGCATTTTACACTCCTGCCCCCCAAAAAAGGCATCTTCATCTATGTGTCTCTTAACTCCCCTTTTGAATTTCTTGCCCCCTTTTACTTCTTATCTAATCGGGTAAATGTTATACCATCTTTAGTGTATCTTATACCTAATTTTTCCCCTTTGTGTCTTACACCCCCATTGTGTGTTTCTTAATTGTCCCCTTTGTGTGTCTTACTTTCCCCCAGTCTCTTATGTCTTTTACTTCCTCCTAGCCCCTTTGTATGTCTATTCTTCCCCCCAGCCCTTTCGTGTGTCAATGTCCATTTACCCAGCTCCTCTATGTGTCATTGTCCCCTTCCCCAGCCCCTCTCTGTGTCACTGTCCCTTTCCCCAGCACCTCTGTGTGTCACGATCTCAGCTCCTCAGTTTTATGATTGTCCCTGTCTTAGTTTCTCTGGGTCATTATCCCCTTCCCCAGCCCTACTTTGTGTCTCTGCCACTCCAGCCCCTCTGTGTGTCTCTGCCACCCCAGCCCCTATGTGTGTATCTTTTTCTCACTCCCCAGCCACTCTGCGTGTCTCTTATTCCTCCCCAGCCCTTCCTTGTGACTCATTCTCCCCCTCATCCCCTCCATGTGTCTAATTTTCTGCCTCAGCCCCTCCACGTGTCTCATCCCCCCACAGCCCCTTCATGTGTCTCATGCCCCTACAGCTTTTCCATATGTTTCATTCCCACCCCAGCCCCTCCATGTTTCTCATTCCCCCTCCCCCAGCCCACCCATGTGTCTCAATATGGAATTGCTTGTATTTGACATTCAGATGTCCCCCAGTTCCATGTAGCTCACCCCCCCCCAGCCTGTCCATGCATCTCATGCCACACCAGGCCCTCCATGTGTCTCATACCCCAACAGCCCCTCCATGTGTCTCATCCCCCAACGCCTCCTCCATGTGTCTCACCCCCAGACCCTCAATGCATTATTCTGCCCCATCTGTCTTATTCTTCCCCTCAGCCTCCCATGTGTCTTACTCTGCCCCTCAGCCCCTACATGTGTTTTATCCCCCTACCCTTCTGTGCCTGCTGACTTCCCTGCCAGTGCACAAGGCCTGAAGTTGTGCCACCCGGCTGGTCCCTGTGCCCAAATGCTCATTCTGCCCTTTTTATATGGCAAGTACAACATTTCGGGGAGGGGGGAGAGGGGGCAAGCTGATAATTACTTCTAAAAGCACAAGTGGTCATGGTCATTGGAGTAATCCTTTAAAATAAGTAGCCAAACAGGAAATTATAAGGTGGCCAGATAACATATTACACATGCAGATGTGGTCTGTATGTTTTAGTTGTTTTAACCAAATATTACAGTTGGAGGGCTAAACTGTTGATGTTTGATGAACTGTTGATAAAAATTAAAACACAGAGTTAAAGGAAACACTCAAACAAACAAAAAAGTTAACTGCTTAGTAGATTGGTAAAATACCCGGAACGGAACTAGTTGTCTGCTAACTGGTTAGCCCATTACTGGGGAACCAGACAAGGGTATTTCAAACATCATAATCACTACAGCGGCCTTTAGTGATTATAGTAATTAGAGTAACCATTTAACTTATCAGAGGACTGTCTGTTATAAATAATAAGCGATAATTTGAAGGAATAGAAAAATGTTTCAGTCAACGAGAGCTTAAACCTATTTGGCACAAACCAGGGGTTAATACACAGAGTTGTAAACTTTGAATTATTCTCAAAGTGTCGGGATAAACTGAGTGAATCCGAATCTTATTAAATAAAAGAGATCATAGGACAGAGCAGGAAGACTAACAAAGAAATGATATGACATATTTGTCTTGTATTAGAGATCTTTGACCACATTTTTTATTCCTTTGACTGAAGTTTGACTAGGTTTATCCAAGCGTTAGAAATGTATTTGAGGTTATATTTAACATCTGTGAATTGCTGGGAATACAGGCATAAAATAATACTGTGGCGAAAGTAACCTCGCCACGGTCTCCCGGAGGAGTCTGCTTGCCAGCCTCTTGCCCCAGGACTATTGGCCCTGTAAAAGCCATGTGAAAAGACCTGGTTTGTGGGATTTTCCATTTGGTTAGGGAACCGAACCAACTCCCGAACGAAGGACCACCCGGGAGCTTGTTAACCCCTATTAGCACCTTACAACGATTCTGCGCACAGTGTTCTAAGTATTCGTCTGTGAACGCAGGGAGCGGTGTTTGGTCGTCGAGTGCATGGAACTGAAATTTGGACACTCGAACTCCCGAACACCGCTGAACTTCCATCATCACCTGTGTTCGGTACATCGGGGAAGGGCACTGTTCGGTGGAATCGTCGTCTGGATGAGGGGAACAAGCTCCATGGTAAGACTATTGACTACGTTCGGTAATTTGTTCGTTTTTAAATTACCGAACTTGACCGACCACTACCACTTTTCCCCTGGAACTATTTTGGGTAGAAGCCTCGTGTGCGGTCGGTCAAATTATCACCTCCATTGAAAACCTGAACCCTCTGAACCGATCTGGTGGATTTTTGGATATGTTGGTCACCCAGATCAGGGCTATCACGGGATGTGACTTTTGTGTTGTTTTCACGTGTTTTGGGGGTACTTTTGGGGTGTCTGTAAAATGTGGGGTTTTTTTGTGCCTGGAGATAATTGAGTTTGTACAGTTCCTGACTCAATTATCTCTCAGATACAGGGGAGGGATTACACTGTTGTTTTGTGTAGGAAATCCCTTGCATTTGTCATAAAAGTCCGTGTGTGGCCCTGCATTAAACAGATTACTTCCCAGCATTAAGCCTCGGCTCATGTGTGGGGGGATTGCTATACTGCTCTTTAGACTACTATAGCTGCTATACTCCCTTGGAGGAGAGGTCTTCCCACTGGGAGCTGGATCCAGGTGTTGGTCCAGGGTGGGAGGGGGCGGCTAAGGGGACTACGGTGCTTATTGTACTCAGTGATACTAGAAAGCGTGATTGGCGGAGGTACCCAGTCAGGGTACCAGACAGTCCGCCACAGATACCTTATAAATATTTTTTTTATACCTCAGGCTTTCCTGTCTCTTTAAAGTTGAGTTTCACAAAATGTTTATGTCCTGACAGATTCTTGATGGTTTATTCAATCCAAGCACTCATGTAGCAGTCTTGCTGTAAGATACAAATCCCTGCCTCACATTTTCTGGTGGGAGTTAAGTTTAGGTGTGTGTATAGATCATATGTGGAGATTTAAAATGGCACCTCCTACCTCCCGGTATTCATGAAGTGTAAGCTCTGGGGTCTTTGCTGCTGCTGTTGACATTTGTGAGTCCATACAAACACTATTGCTCATTTGTGGAATTTTCTGAAATGCCATTACATTTGTACACGACATTACAATGACATTATAGGCTGAAAAGAGACATCAAGTTCAGCCTTTCAAACATCTGAAGGCAAAAAGAAAGCAAAATTCCTAGTCTGAAGCACTTCCAAAATTGCAATAAACTAGGAAAAAAATCCTTCTTGACCCTAGAATGGCAGTCAGATATCTCAATGGATCAATAAGCTATTAGCTCACTAATTAAAATGTATATCCCTGTATATTATGTTTTTGCAAGTATGTATCTAGTTTCTTTTGAAATATCTGTTCAGACTCTGATAAAACCACTTCTTTAGGCAGAGAATTCCACATCCTTATTGTTCTTACGGTAAATAAATCTGTCCTTTGCCCTAGACTAAATCTCCCTTCTTCCAGTCTAAATGCATGACCTCATGTTCAATGTATAGTCCTGTTTGTAAAAAGATTAACACTTAACCTGGAATTTTGGAGATACAGGCCTCCATCAGGACATTTCCAAAAGATCTGCCCTTTATTATAAATTAATATTAAAAACAAAAGATAATGTACACAGTGCTAGATACAGTAATAGGCAGCAAAAAGCTAATAATTTAGCTCTAGTAGTGATTACATTTGCGGTCTATACCCAACTAGGAAACACTGGGTACAATGTAGGTTATGGTCGTGGGTATGAAATGAGAAGAAAATCTCAAATAATGAAATACCGTCAGTACACCTTTAATCAAGCAAAGGTAAGTATACTTACAAAAGAAGACCCTTATACTCTGCTCAGAGTGTGGATTGCTTGAGGTGATTTAACTCCTCACTCAATGGAGCTTTTAAACCCTATATACAGCAGAAGAATCGTTATAAAAATGATGTTCTATCGGCAGGTACATAAAGTGTGAATTTTATTGGGATTAAATGTTTTGTACAAGGTAAGTATACAAAGTAAGTGTACGTGAAATAACAATCTCTATAGAGAGCAGCATATAAAAAGAAAAGTGCTGTAGCGGTCCAGAATGTCCCTTTTAAGTGAATCTGTCACTTTTGGAGGTCATTGCATATTTTGACCCCCCAAGTTGGCATGTCCACTTAGGGTGCAGTGGCTGCTGAGTGCAGAGTGAGTGGAAGGTAGTTGTATTTACTTGAAGCTTTCTGTCTCCACCATCACCATCTTCTTACTGAGGACTTTTTCAGCGCCTATTGTTTCATCTACCAGAACCTAGATCACCCAAATTACAACAGTTACTGAAAAAACTGTAACTATATATAATAACTATATATATATATCGATAGCGAGAGAGAGAGAGAGAGAGAGAGAGAGGGAGTTAGCTAGCTAAAGTCCCATTTCATTGAGTGGTCACTTTATTTTTTTGTAAATGTATGACCTATAAAGAGAATAAGAAAACAAAAACAAATGGACGCATTTAAAATCAAAGCTGTAGTTATATCAAAATATTAAATGTTTCAACTTTTCCAACTGCAATCTATAATATATAATCTATTGAAATGGAAACCTTACTACTTCTTTAAAATGGTAGAAAGACGTTGTTACTTTGTGGATAAAACCAAAGAAAAAACATTATTTACGCACAATCCCAAATCCATATGCACATTGAAATAACTGGAGGTTTTTTAGTATCATTCCAATGGCCATTTAAGTGTAAGCTCACCTGCCACGTCAAGGGAATACCTTTTAGGTTAGTCCTACACTAACAATACACCTTGCTGCTTTCAGCTACAAGGTAAAATCTCTAACGAGACAGAGAGGGGTATTTTTTTAGAACCCCCAACACACGCTTATTTAACCCTAAATGCTATAGATAGATTGAATGGATATTTAGAATCAGCCTTTCTTCTTTGTAATGAAGCCTAGTTTGTCTGCCTGGCTTCACTTTGCCACCACACCCACCGTTTGCCTTTAGCATTAAATTATTTAATGCCTTGTTTGCAGTTCTGGCACTCAATGGGTTACAATGTTTGTGCCCCTCATTTTGGGACGTTGTGTTCTTTCAAGACATAAACAACGAGAAAGGAAATCGAGTTTAAATGAACATTACCGTACTGGCCTACTGTAATGCTAAGTGGTATAATGAAATGAAAATATTCTTAAGCCATGGAAAAAATATGGGACAAAATGTCTGTACCATACGTAGTCTAACAAAAATAGCTCCAAACTTAATAAATGTAACTAAAGAGGAAAATGCTTTTGGTAAATTGAAGGCTGTGTCTACCCTGACACAAACAGACTATGTTGTAGATTATTGAGATCCAAAGTCTAAATCTTTTTCTAATACCTGACCGGTATTTTTAAAAGTTTAAATGTTGGATTTCCTAAAGTCCCCACAAAGATTTGTGTTGACAAGGTTAAAACCTTCACCATTTAATAATCATATCTCACTCTGGTGGTAGAACCTCATTCATCTATTCAATTTCTCTAATCTGGTTTCATTGCTGTACCCTCCAAAATCTCATCCCTTTTTCGTAGATATATAACATTTGGAAACCAGCCTCAATCCACTCCTTACCATCAAGCTGACAGCGATGTTTGTGATTTTAAAATTACATCATTTACACTGCAAATCTCTAATTTATGATGGGCAACCACAATCCTCTTGGCTGAGTTTTATGAGTCCCTTACGCAGCGTAAGGAAGTCTGGACTAAGTGTGGAGCAGTCTCTGCTGGCTCTCATAAATCAGTCTCTGTTTTTTACTGAAGCCCTTGCTGTACAGAGTGAGAATTTCATGACATGACTTGTAAAAAGCTCGGCAGCCAAAAAAAAAAGAGAGAGAGACAGGCGTAAGCATCAGCGCCAGCACTTGGGCTGGCATACCAGAATCTGCCAAACCAGATAGTAAATTGAATTAGTAAAATAAAGACTTAGTCAATGTAGCATACATTAATATTTGCTATAAATATAGCCAAGGCTTAATGAGCACAACCTCTCACAGTCTTACACGGCTACACAGGAACTATGGTGGGATCAGTCTGCTTTGAGTGCTCAACCTGCTTCACTTTGAGACATAAACCAGTTATGGTACAAAGATTTGCAACTAATATATGAGACTTTTTAGAAGCAAGTTAACTGCCCAAAAATGTCTTTTTTTATTTCGATTTATTTTTTTCCAAAAATGTGTCTCAGTCTGTGTCTTTGTTGTACTAGACTACTAAAATCTGGGTCTTTGAATTACAATACCGGGAGGTGTTTGATGTGTAAATGAACCCTAAATCCCAATATTTATGTGACGAAAATAACGGAAAATAATGCCAGTACATGCAAACTGTGATTAGTGGCCAGGCACAGAGATGCCTCACATTCCAAAATTTCAGGCATTGGTTCTAGACTTTAGAATTGTTTTTTAGACTTTTTTTTAGCTCCCTGGTGTTTTTTGATCATGTTTTCATTTTGGAATCAATGTACGACTTGATTATATTTTACATAAACCAACGTCAGAGCTTCAGAAGACTTTTATTGGAATATATATCGTTTTGTTTTCATTTATATTTCTTTAATCTGTCATTGTGGAATGTCAGATGCATTGTCTAGTTGTTTTAAACCCAATTTACCTATCTTATTTTATCATAACAGGTCAGTGGAACATTTTCAGGCCCCAACCTCCTGACCTAAATATGACGGAAAGTCCGGAAAAGGAAGCAGAGAACTTATAAATACTAATACAAACTCAGAATTAAAGTTGAGCAAGCAGCACAGATCTGAAAAGACCACAAATGTAAAAAATAAATAAAAAATTATATAAAATATACAAAAGTGTGAGATGGTTGGAACCCAGAAGAGGACTCTTGCATTGAAGACTCTCACAGAAAAAGGCTACTGGTCTATAAACAGTTTACCTGCTCAGAGTATAATGAAGACTGTCGCATGTGCACAACTTCTCTGGGGAGATAAAATTGATAATGACCAGCCAAAAACTATAATCTTTACTGCGATTGTCCCACGTTTTTTACCTTCCCCAAGGGAAGGCTGAACATTTTTTATCCAGCAAGCCCCATTCATGTGGAATAGGTTGGAATTCCGTAATTTCAATTCTACATATTTATGATTGTCTTTATATGTTTACCAATGTTTGAATGTCCGTACCATATTTTCAGGAAATAACAATCCTCCATTTTTTATCGGCTGTATTTCCTTGACTTATCTACACATTATATTTATGTTGCATGTAATGTTAACTGCTTATAGCAATTATCTCCAGTCCTGGAGGGTTGAAGCTTGCTGGACTTTCAAGATAGCTGTTAGCACATTTCTCGAAAACAAACGGGGTTAATTGTTTAATTATTTATTAGTGATAGCCATCCTAAAACTATGGAAACATTATATCCTTCCAGGATGACGTTTGATATGTCTGGCTTCCAGCCAAGGCACTCTTCAAAACAAAAAGGCATCTCGGAGTCGCCGCTTCACAAGTAAAATTTTTACACACTAATGACCACAAAATAACCATTCATTCAGAAGTTAAGGTAATTGCAGTACATAGTAAAAATCCTTAAATCTGTTACACCTTTCAACCTCTCCCCCTGGGAGAAGTTTAAATTAATGACTGCTGACTACAGAAGCAGTTAATGATTGCTTGGTATAGGAGCAGAGGCATAAAAATACAGCTGTAAGTGAATATGGTCTTAATTTTGCTTTGCTACCGTATTTTGTATAATTGAATAACGAGTTAAGGGAATTTATTCTAACGGTCATTATATAAAGCAATATATTTTCCATCACAGGCACAGAGATGTTTTATTTTCTAAACTGGGAAATGTGGATAATTGACAATGATGTTACATATTTGAAGGACAAAACTATTGTTAATATGACAATTCTTTCATTAGGTTTTGAAAGGAAATAGATTTTTAAAATCTACTTCCTTTCAAAAGCCTGCAGTTAGTCACTATGGTCTTCCCCACTTCTGTCAATTTCCAAGCACTATCTGACCCAAGATGCATGTATATGGCTGAAGGATCATCTCATAATAAAAGCAACAATTTTTTTTTCTCACTTTTTTCTACATTTTTATAATTCATTAACAAAAACAACTCTCCTCTTAAAACTATTAAAAAATAGTTTTGAGGTGACAGTTGTCCTTTAATGCCATACAAGTTGGGAAATAGTTCAACAATTTGAAACCTACTTTTCGATTCTCTACATTTATTGGTTTAGTGAGCTACTCCACTTCAGTCGTTTTACCGCATAACTAATATCAACCTTCAGAGCATATTTAGTATTATTCAATATTAAAAAAAAAAACAATAATCAAAGGTTTAAACAATTTCTATATGTCTTTATACAGCACAGTTCAGAAATGTTCAAGATATTTTCAAAACTTTACCCGGGTTATCCACTAAAGTGAGAATTCAAATTTAATTTTAAAATTAAACAAAATTAGATAAACTGGAAAGTAGATTCTGGTTCAGCTATTTTGACCTACAAACTGAAATTCTCTTTGAATTCACTTTTAATTGAATTCTTTAGTGTATGATCTTGTAGCTTTCATTTGATATTGCTTTCAGTTGGCACTAATACTTCACGATGCACCCAAGAACATCGTGACTGTAGTTTTTACAGTGCATTCTTTTTTTTTTTTTTTTACTTCTTTATTTTATTTAAGGCATATTAGATGGGGTACAGACGATAAACCAGGGGAAATGTATGCGTAGTTACATCATGGGGTAAATACATCAATGGCATTACTGCACATTTCTAAGATAGAGATGCCTCATTTTTTAATTTTTGTTGTTTAACAAAGGCGAAACCACATTAGATATAGATATAGATTAACTAGGGTAGCATAGCCTAGCCTCATTTTTTAATTTTTGTTGTTTAACAAAGGCGAAACCACAGTAGATATAGATATAGATTAACTAGGGTAGCATAGCCTAGTGATTATATTATTAAGTAAACTTATAACACATGTATAACTGTAACGTAGATTTGTCAACGTATTACACCTGCTATTCTTGTGACAGCACAGTTAATGTAGGAGTAATGTGCTAGGTATTTAAGCAGGCTAGTGTGTGTGTAGACTATATAGTAATGGTGTATGGCTGAGGCATCCAACCGGATTAAGCTATGCTCTTATGTCTTAGCAGGTAGTAACGATCATATATCTGACCATGAATCTATTCAAGTAAGTGGCAGTGGACTAAAGAGATGTTAGGCATATATGACTAAGGTTAAACAGACTTGGTAAACGGTGAGTCTAACATGCGATGGAGTACGAGTAGTGCATTCTTAAACCCATCGTCTGGTAAATCTTTCTGATAGTGCAGTTAAATGTCATGGTAAAACCAGAATATTAATTGCCTACAAGCCAACAAATTTATAACTGATCTAATGCTAGCTACCCAACCCAACTCCCCAAATGTCTTTTGCTGATTGTTGACAAATTATATACCTATCTAGTTTTTTGTAATGTATTTCTTTGCAGGAACTCCAAAATGTCCAGTTTTATACACAGTTTCACACCAAATCAATCTTAAATCTATTATGAAAACATTAATTTGAAAGAGTATTCTGAACTGAAAGTGCTAAATATGACATATAGAAGTTTTTTTTGTTTTTTTTCCTACCTTAATGTGTGATTTTAAAAAAGAAGTAATCATATAGGGATAGACTAACTGTAATATTATCTACTTCTGTAACTTGTCTACTGTCTGTAATGAAAAAAAAAAATAGATATTTTAAAAAGCATATTTTTAGGAACTTGATGATGATGGTTGAATATAATGTTTGACAACCAGTTAAAGGATGAAATGTATTGTCGTGTCCTTGTCTGATAAAGAAATTAATACTATATTTTCATGGCCATTTCACATACTATAAATTTGCATTCAATGATTGATGCAAGTACTATATTCCTAGATGGTCATAGAAAATATGCATACATATTAATTACGGGCTACAGTATTTTACTATCATCGCATGAAAATTAAATATATTTATTTTTGATATTAGAGAAACATAACTTTCTCTTGAAAATGTATGGACTATCCTTTTTTTTTATTGAAAGGTATCATTTTCACCACTTGGTCAAAACATATCACATATCATAATGTATTTGCAAGGTAAATATATTTTTGTGTGCTGAAGTCTAGATAATGGGAATGCCATAACATGCACAAACTAATAGGAATAATTCACAGAAATCTTACAACTACACAAAACCTGGAATTAAACCAATTATTTGCAAACCAGCCTTTAAGGCACAGCAATGGCCCAGGTTCTACCAGTATCTCCATGAGATTAAAACACGGGCCATTTGCATGCTTTGACGACTGGGTTTGGAAGCACTGCACTAAACCACACAATGTTGTATTTAAGGTAAACATGGATTTGAAGAAACCACAGTGTTCTACATTTATAGATGCATCATTGTAAATTCCATAGTCATACTTAACAACATGCCAGATTCATAATAGGGAATTCGACAGTCGTGGATGCCAGCTTTTTGTGCCTTCTTCTTCAGGGCAAGGAATGTCCTAGTGCCTCTACCCACTCATTAACTCAAATCACCCTCCTGTGATAATTTATTTTGGGTTAGTTTTGCCTTGTTATGCCAAATGGACAGTAGCCTTAAATCTGTTCAAAACCTACAGGGGTAGATTGCAGGTCCTAAAGATGATTTTGTTTTTAATTCTGTCCTTTATTAAGCCTCTAGTGAAGTCTACATTGAAGTTTTGGCTTAAGTGGTTAGTGTCCTGGGTCTAAGACTATTACACTCTAAAAGGTTAATATATTTTTTCATTGTGTCCTACAATTATATATTCATTGGTTTGGTAACCAAGCACTAGACACTTAGATACCTAGATAATGTATAGCAAGCTCAGATGTATGTATCTTAAACAATATCTACTGTATTATACTCTTGGAGAAGGTACATGTCCAATTGGACCGAATGGACACCTTCGAGGCAAGCTATGAAAATATACGTGGTGAGCTGGTCAGCGCGGTAGAATGTTTAATTTATGCCGTGTCAACTGTTCCAGGCCTCTTTTGACAAATCAATCTATTTATTTTGATATCTATTTCTATCTGAAAAATCTAAGTAAAGTATTTTCTGAAGACATATTTCTTGTTTCTGAATTTGATGTTTGTTGTTAAAATTTATAATAAAGTAAATATTAAGCTATATCTATCAATGTGCTGTTGTCTGTATGCAATAAACCGCAATTAATTCTACTTAACTACCAAAAAATGATTCTGCATTGCTTCATTTAATAATTCATAATGATATTGTATAGACAAAATTTATTAGTTGCAAAAGATGTACAAAAAAATAAATAATTTGATAATATATACACACTGAAATCAAACAATATATCCCAATGGAAACAATATATAATACACCTATAAATATAGCTCCATGTTCCTAAAGATCCCTGACCACAGATTTATGAATCATCCAAATAATGCTATATAGCTATATCTTGGAGTCCAAGGTCCCCATCCACAAAAAAGGGATAATAAAGAAAAAAATGAAAAAAAGGAGAGAAAAAAATGAAAAAAGAAAAAATATGAAAAAATATGAAAAAAGGGAAAAAAGGGAAAAAATACAATCGTGGTGCTATTATGGATCCCTGTATATCAATCTGTAGTTCTTCTCAAGTTATATGTGTAAAGAATCCTGCAATCTTCCTGGAGGTACCGGACTCCTATCTCCAATCTGCTGGTGCCGGGTCTTTTGATGGGCTCTTCCTGGGGGTACCGGACTCCTATCTCCAATCTGCTGGTGCCGGGTCTTTTGATGGGCTGCGCTCTCCGGACCTGGAACATCCCTTCAATGGCCCTATCAAAGATAAAAAGATACTGATAGATCCCACACTTATATGCTTATTCGGCGCGCCCACCTAACCGTGTGGGTCACGCCTATGTGACGTCATGACGCTTACGTTCGTCTATCCGCTTCTCTGTGCGGGTCGCATCTCTATGACGTCACGGCGCATTTATCGTGCTACTGCGCCAGACAACTATAGTCCCACTGACATTATTTATGTCTTCCTGCGCCAGTACATCTACTTCCATGCGTGGGAGCAATATATTTCAATGTATGGGAAAAAAATGTCCCTTATATCCATACAGTATGAGCAAGTGTCTATGTACAAATGTACCATTATATACATATATACAACACAAAAACATGGAGGATTAGATAATTGCTAGAGGATTACCCAATAAAATTCTTTATTACATTTATTAACACTTTAATGAGAATCTGGCTGAATTCTAAATATGACAGATTTGAGAGAGCCCATCCAGGGTCTAAATAAATGAAAGAAGATTTCTTAGAAAATAATTTAAAAAAAAAATTTCTACTGAAAAAAAATCTACAATGAGAGAAATGTCTCTTCAAATGCAGTGACCGTAGGCTAAAATAGATCCTCTCTGATCCTATCTTCTGTTTCTTACTCCTTGGTGGAAATGATTATATATGTAACCACCACCACCAGGTAGCTGCTAAGGTAGCAAAAGATTATGTGAGACCAAAATGAAGTTGCAACAGGCAATCAGAGGTAACTGTTCAAAATAACTTATTTTCACCAAACAAGCATACTCACCAGCAGTGTAGTGTAGGAAAAATGCCTGTGGTTTCCCACATGTTGGGCCCCGTTATTTCTCCAACATTCAAAATGCTAGATTCTACTTAAAACAACATTTAATCTAAACAGAAGTCACAAAGCATCATGGGAGCTGGAGTCCTGCTTAGCACCAGTGGCGTACATACCAGGGTCGCAGGGGTGCGGCTGCGACCGGGCCCGTCCTACCAGGGGGCCCGGCCGCCTCTGCGACCCGGTGTGTACCCACTGGGCCAGCCTCTTCTCCTGGGGGGGCCGGGCAGGCGGGCGCGCGAGGGAGCACTCAGTGCTTCCTCTTCAGCTCCCTTGCGCGCCGCATAGGGATGCCGGAGCCGGAAGATGACGTCATCTTCCGGCGCCGGCATCCCTATGCGGCGCGCGAGGGAGCTGAAGAGGGAGCACACAGGGGAAAGTGATCCCTTGCGCGCCGGCCCGGCCAGGCAGCCCGCCCACCCAGTGACCAGGAACCCAGTGACCAGGAGCCCATAGTGTATGTGTGTGTGTGTGTGTGTGTTAGAGTGTGTGTTAGTGTATGTGTGTGTTAGTGTGTGTGTGTGTGTTAGTGTGTGTGTGTGTTAGTGTGTGTTAGTGTATGTGTGTTAGAGTGTGTGTGTGTTAGTGTATGTGTGTAAGTTAGTGTGTAAGTTAGTATGTGTGTTGAGTGTGTGTGTGTTAGTGTGTGTGTTAGTGTATGTGTGTGTGTGTGTGTTAGTGTGTGTGTTAGTGTGTGTGTGTTAGTGTATGTGTATAGTGTGTGTGTAAGTTAGTGTGTGTGTGTTAGTGTATGTGGAAAGTGTGTGTGTTAGTGTGTCAGTGTTTGTTTGTGTTAGTATGCATTAGTGTACTGTGCGATGGTGTCTGTTATTGGGTGTGTGTCTGCTAGTGAGTGTGTTACTGTGTGTGTTTGATGTCTGTTAGTGAGTGTGTGTTTGTCAGTGAAAGTGTATGTTTTGTAAGTGAGTGTGTATGTATATCTGTCGCTGAGTGTGTCTCTGTCAGTAAATGTGTGTGCTGTTAGCTAGTGTGTATGCGTCTGTTCGCGTGCATTTAAACCGCCCATAGGAAAGCATTACTCAATGCTTTCCTATGGACGTTCAGTGTCTTCTCACTGTGATTTTCACAGTGAGAATCGCGGAAGCTCCTCTAGCAGCTGTCAATGAAACAGCCACCAGAGGCTGGATTAACCCTCAGTGAAACATAGCCGTTTCTCTGAAACTGCTATGTTTTCAGCTGCAGGGTTAAAACTAGAGGGACCTGGCACCCAGACCACTTCATTGAGCTGATGTGATCTGGGTGTCTGTAGTGGTCTTTTAAGTGTGTGTGCATACCGCGGTCGCGGGGTCGCAGCCCTGCAACCCCTGCGACCAGGTGCCCGCCACCATGTGTTGCGACCCCGACCCGCGCCGAGTAAGCGCATGGGGGGCCCACGTATCAATTTTTGCACCGGGGCCCCATGGGTCATGTGTACGCCACTGCTTAGCACTCCTGTGTCTTATACACCTTAAACATCTGTGTTTGTGTGTTTGCATCTTGCATCCAACCTAATACCTAATTGTTAAAAAATATTAGACATAGTAACAGTCGGAATACCAATCCCATTCCGTACCCCCCCTTCTCATCATGCTTTGGGAGCAGTTTTTTATATCTTACTTAAGGTTCACTTAAAAACGGAGGTCACGTGTCTTTTGTTGTATATCACCCTGGGAGTCCACTTATTTAAATATGTAGACCTGAAATTGCTGTCTTTCAGACTAATCATCCAGTTAGTTTTAAAGGAAGCCTCAGCACAACTCAGGTCCTAATAAAATGCATTTTACATAAAAACAGATGGCTTGAGACCACACTAACAGTAGTCTTTCTCAACAGATCTGATAAATACATTACTAGTCTAAGAGTCCTGTATTCTAAAAGGCATAACAGATTAAACAAAGACAGAAACTGACACAGTCAAATAGAGACACATACACACACTCATACAGAGACATACACACACTCATACAGACAGTCATGCAGAGACACAAACAGAACACACACTCATACAGACATAGTCATACAGAGACACATACATGCTTATACAGACACAGTCATGTAGAGACACAAACAGAACACACACTCATACAGACAGTCATACAGAGACACATACACACACTCATACATATACAGAGTCATACAAAGAAACATACACACACTCATACAGGCAAATATTCATACTGAGACACATACACACACTCATACAGACACATAGTCATACAAAGACACATACACACACTCATACAGACATAGAGTCATACAGAGACACAGACACAGACTCACTCATACAGAGACATATACACAAACTCATACAGACACATACACACACTCATGCATACACAGATTCATACAGACACATGCACAGTAATACAAACACATAGTCAAACATAAAGACACACATACACACGCTGACATTAAAGGAACACTGTAGGGTTAGGAAAACAAACGTATTCCTGACCCTATAATGCTAAATATACTATCTACCATCCCCCACGTCTTATTCCCCTAAATATAGTAAAATCCTACCTTTATTCTAGTCTGCTGGTGCTGGCTCTGCCCCTGCTTTGCCACCTGGGCTGACATCATCAGAAGTGATGATTTTAGCCAATCACAATGCTTTCTCTTAGGAAAGCATTGGAATGGCTGAGGTAGTCAATTTTGATGATCTCAGCCAAGGAGGCGTGCTGGGGGAGAAGCCAAATGCCATCCTGGCCAATCAGCATCTCCTCACAGAGATCCATTGAATCAATGCATCAATAAGAGGAAAGTTCAGTGTCTCAGTGCAGAGGGTGCAGAACACTGAATGGGCATACTGTGCAGCACTGCCCCAGGAAGCACCTCTAGTTTCCATTGGAGGAGTGGCCACTAGAGGTGTCTCTAGGCTGTAATGTAAACACTTCCTACAGTCCCTATGCTGTAATGTAAACACTGCCTACCAAAAACCCTGCAGTGACTGACTATACTCAACAGAACAACTACATAAAACTACAGAAAACGTATTTCCTGAAAGGGCTTCATCCCTGCTATCTGGTGGCGTGAGAGAGACATGAGGAGCAGCTTGAATTAGTTCTACACACAGTTCCCTCTTGACCCAGTCTGTAGTGACGTCACGCATCAGTAAAGTCCGAGCTGACAGAGTGAGTGTAACTGTCCGGTGTGGTAAGGTGAATTATTAGGGTTAAAATTATCCATTCCTGTTCTATATTAGAAGAATAAGAGGCGTAACATTTGAAATGTATGAAATATTGTCACTTTAAGTGGATTCTCTAGAAGTGAGAAGCCCCTAGTATAAAAAAACAAAAACCCTCCTGGTAGGAGAGTTCCCCTCTCCCCAAGTCATCATTAATGTCAGGCTAATCAAAGATCCTTGATTGAAGACAGATATGGTTTATTCACTAAACAGTTGATTGTGATAATTTAAAAACAAAGTTTCACATGGGTTTTCAATTCACTGTTTAGTGAATAAGCCACTAGGATTTGAAGTGTTAAATTAATCGAGAAATATTTGTCTCTTTTTTAATTTAAATT